GGGGGGTGTTAAATAAGCTTTATAAAATCTAGATTATTATAAAATACGCTTTACGCACGGGTTTGTAGGCACTACTGTGAATACAAATTAGCACAACAGTGTAATGATCATATGTTGATTGAGGATTTGAATACATAAATAAGAAAAAATGAATCAAAATAGTTTCTGAACTTTATAAAACAGCTCTGATAATGGGCAGTGTATCTTTTATTATGATTTTATTCTCTTTTATTCTTCTCGTGTTCGGATGCTGACAAACCCATACATGTGTATCTGTGAACCCCACCTCCCACCTCCCCACACTACAGGGCCAAGATCTCGGAAACCAAAGAAGAAAACGACCAGCAAAGAGGACAAGCGACCACGGACGGCCTTCACAGCAGAACAGCTGCAAAGACTCAAATCGGAGTTTCAGACAAATCGGTATCTGACGGAGCAGAGGCGACAGAACCTGGCGCAGGAACTGGGCCTGAACGAATCCCAGATCAAGATCTGGTTTCAGAACAAGAGGGCCAAAATCAAGAAGGCTAGCGGCGCTAAAAACTCTCTGGCCTTGCACCTGATGGCACAGGGACTGTACAATCACTCCACCGTCACGTCGAAAGACGAAAAATCAGACAGCGATTGATTTCCAGAGAAGTAAAAGCAGCCTCCTGACGAAAAAGAACCTATAGTAATCCTATTATAGATTTTTATAGAGATATCACAGAAAAAAAAACTCTACTTACAGGAATATTTAATGATGCCACAGCAGATAAAAATACTACAAAGTACTATTACTATTACTCAACGCTAACTCAGTAGCCTACAGATGTACATCGCGTCCAGGGCACCGTTAAAAATACAATACTACAAAAAAAAGTAAGAATAAGATCGCTACTACTTCGAGTCCCTACAGGAATTCTAATGCTACCATAGGTCTCTGTATGTTCCTATGGGAATATTATAGTGCTTTTTCGTTATATGGGAGGTTTAGACAAGCCTACAATGCAATAATTTCACCGAATAAAGGGCCAGTGTATAGAGTATACCAGCATAAATTGTTTGAAAAAAAGAGAGATATTTCTGCAATATCACGTCTATAAAAGATGTTGTATAAAGGTATGTTTTCATTGTTTGTTGTCCCCCAACCCAACCCAGCCCAGCCCAAGCTCAACCCCAACAACCCCCCCTGAGGTACAAACGCTTACTCCCTTCATTTTTATATACCGTATAGGATTACTGCTACCCATGATTGTCATCGTTTCACATTTTACTAACTGGCAACTGACGTTTGGATTTGTCAGTGAAGTGAGCAAACTTTAAGTCCAAAGAATATTTTTCTGCTGCATCCAGGCTACTGTGAATTTAAATAAATGCTAACGCGGTTTTTATCTTCCATGCTTGTTGGGTTTTTTGGGGGAGGGAGGGTTGATTGTGTTTGATGTAAAATAGGCAGAAGAAGGTGTTGCGTGTCAGCTGCAAAACTAATCGGGCAGACTCTGAATTTTGATACTTTTTTTTTAAATTCACAGTTTCTTACAAGTGACCGGGAGAGGTAGGGATTTTTTCTCTCTAACACACCACTTAACTAAAATGCTAATTTAGGCCTTGCTTAATGTTTGTGGTCATCTCATAGCCTTTAAACAAATATTATGTGCGTATTCCATTCGTTATACCAATGCATCAGTGCAGCTATTATAGTTTTAAATAGCAATACGAATCATTTTTTGTAGCTAAGCGAAGGCTATAATGCTGCCTATTACGTCACAGAAACAACTCCGTAGCATAAAGACAATGATGACGCCGATTTTTGCGCACTCTCACGAGTATCTTCTAGAAATGCAGGTTATTGGATGTTCTTGTTAAATCTTTCTCTATATACATTTTTATTGCATATCCATATATCATAAAAAGAAGGCAAATCCGTCAGTGACTGTATTACAAATGTTGGAAATCTCTTATCGTTGTTGAAAGGACTTCATATGTGTATTTATATAGATTATATTGACAAAAAAAATCTATCCAATGACCAGTGTTGCTTTAGAGTAGATATCTGAGGTGTTTACACTGCTTGTTTATCTTGCAATAACTTCTTTTTGTTTTCTTTTGTTTTCTTTTGGGTTCTTTTTTTTTGTGAATGAAAAATTGTTTATGGGGCCTTTTGCATGAAAGCTGCAATTTGTTGTACTTGGGCAAATAACTGTGTTTATAAAACTTTGGTCTTTATCAACGAAAGTATGATCGAGCTAAGTTTCAGACTGTATCCATACCAAATTGTGGATTATTTGCCTTTCAAAGTCTTTTTGTTGTGTATCTGCAAAAAGTGTGTGTGAATTAAAATCCACCAAACAGAAAACACACTTTGCCTTAAAGTTCAAGTGTGAACTTTTTATGAAACAGAACTGTGCCGAATCAGAGAAGCAGTATTACTTCAAATGCAGACTACTCAAGTTTAATGCCTTTATGAAAAACTGCTGGTACGACATTATGAATTTACTCATCAGCGTATATCTATCTATATATGAACATGTTTAAATAAAATTACAACACAGAGTTGTAGAATACAATGCTATTTTTTATTTTATGTTGGAAGTATTCTTTGGTATAAATGTACATAATTTGTATCATGTATTAATTGTGTAATTAACTGCCACCTGAAAACTGCAGAAGAAGAGTAAATAAACCTTGAAGATTATACACAAACATGTTTCTGAACTCTGTATGGTGCTCTAAAACCCATAAGCATTAGCCGAGGCCTGGATAGAACAGCAAATGGGACCTTCGGTCTCTCCTGATAGTGTGCACACATCATAACTTGAAGAAAAAACAAATACATTACAAGCTAAAACATGGCATTTGCTCTTTTTAAAGAAAATTACAGACATTATTCATTTGCACAGCACAGCAGTCCTTTCCATGCAAACACACACTTGTTTATGTTCAGAATCGTCGCTGAAAATCAGAATCATGGGTTTTGAGATTAAAACATTTGCAAAAGCTTCAAACATTATGCAAGGGAAAGCCTTGAACAATTCCCAGGCATGTTTCCTCAACAATACCTTATCTGCATTTCCATACTTGCACCACTAGTCTTTGAACGCCATGTCTAACGGCCAGTGACTAGCATTAGAGCAAATAGGGCTGCACCCAGCACTGTCTTTGAGACGGTCAGTGTTCCTCGTTGCTTCTGAAAAGAGCCTGTGCTTCTATCACAAGGAAGAAATTGGAGTCGAAGGGAGAGAGCGAGAGAGGGTAGGGGAGGGAGGGGTGAGTGCATGAGGGGGAGAGAGAGAGTGAGAGAGAGAGCAATGAAGGTCAAAGCCTGTCATGGCTGCAGGTGGCTGGTTTCCCCCTCCCGCCCCTCAGTAACCCATTCTCCACACACAGCTTTTTCACTCGCCAACTCATACTCTGTCTCACACACACACACACACACACACACACACACACACACACACACACACACACACACACCTCAGTATCATTTGGTTTATTTTATTCTTGCATGGCACACACACACACACACATCCAAATACTCCATTCAATTGTGTTCCTCCTCACATGCGCACGCAGCCCTGTTGTTTTGATCCTTCATTCAGCGCATCAATAGGAAGCTTCATCAAAATATTCACAGGCAGAGAAGCTCCCCTGAAGTTCAGATAGGGACACCAGCACATGAACAAAAGCTAAAGCTGTTAGGCTGCATGGGCACTTCTTTCCTGGAACAAAAGGTTTTATCTGAGAATAATTTGTCTCGTATTGGGAAGTAGAGATTCAGGTGGTCAAATGACCACCAGCGGTCCTTTTTTGAGGCTCCTCACGGTTCAGAAAAGTCTTGCATTGCTGCCAAAATACCATATATGACCATGTAAAGCTGGGGAGGTAACACAGAGATAAAAATCTCTGCAGAAACTCTTAAAAATGCCTGGGATAAAAAGAAATTTTATTCAGTACTGCAGACAATTTTAGAGAGTTCTCATGTTGCAAAAAATGGAAGTGGGTGCAGGATACATCAGGAAAGTATCAATGTCTACCTCTACACACAAAAGGGCCCCATCCTGCTATGACCTCTCCCACCATCCTCCCCCTCCCCTACTGTGTCATTTACCCACAGTTTCTAAATGCTTCCTACGGCCAGAGTGGAATCTGCTCAGAGCTGCCTGGGCTTTGTGGCGGAAACATAATTAAAGTGGTGAAAGATGTAAAAGGTGAAGAATGGGGATGACATCAGGCCAATTTCACACTTGGCACTCGAATGGCTAGGTCCAAGCCAGGACTCTTGCCTCGCAACACAGATCAAAGCCCACTGTCACCGCACCAGTGCAGGAAAAAAAAGAGGCAAAAGGACACCTAACTATGCTAATCCCCAGGACGAATATATTTTAATCTTGTTAGAATACAAGTTAATGCTGTGGCTCAGTGGCTGAACTTTTTTGGCAAGAATGAGAGGTGGACAGAACTACTTTTACCTTTTCTACATGAGGTGCCTCTGTCTGGCACCGGATAAACAGTCAGAGTCTGAACAAACTTTCTTTTGGACAAACTCACCGTATTATCGAGCCACATACTGTACAGGGCAGCAGATAGCAGTGAAAAGGCAGTGAAAAGGCAAGCAACAGTTTTCATTAAGAACAACGATGGAAAAAAGAAAAACTGTGTCAGTGACCCCGGCTGAATCCCCACTAGGGCACCTAACATGCAAAGGAAATGAGTATTTTGTGGACTGGTTTGTCCCCTCTCACACTGAGCCCTTCTTTCTCAAAAGCACCTTGGTAACCCTTGATCTCTCATGTATGGAAGTCAGGGTGCTGGGGCCTGCAGAAGTTGACTAGGCAGACAATAGCAAGCGGATGCTTTCTGGAGAAGTCACACCCAGGCAACTCTCATTTCACACACCGTGTTTGAGTGACCCTTGAAAAAAAAAAAAGAAGATGCAAGACTTTTAAGCAAAGATTCTTTTTGTTCACTTGAAGAAATTCAGGAAAAAGAAAAAACATCAATGCACCTTTTCCCATGTAGCTACCATATTTGTTTCCTAAAGTAATGTTTTCTGCTCAGCAAGACCAAATTTTATGCTGCGTTCAAATTTCACAAAGTTGTTTTTAACACAGCATGAGTTGCACAGCTTGTTCTCTATACTGGTGGATTTATGGATGTGTCATATATTTTTAACAAAAAGATGGTAAAAGAAATATAGGAACAAAGTAAGAGAAGCAATTACAGAATAGGAAATGTTTATTAATAAAAAGTTATTTAATATTACGGTCATAGTTATCTTACATTTAATTTAACATAAATACATCATTTCTTGCAGTTGCACCTTAAGTTGAATCATGTCTTTTGCAGAATGCGTCTGGTGTAACACTGACTACGGCTTTGGATGAACTCTTGTCTTTGATTGCTGCTACAAAATATTACAATAAGCACTTTAGAACTCAAAAAAAACACCAACTTTTAAAATAATTTCCTAATATGTCTTATGGGTCATCTTTTTTGGCAAGTGGAAGCAAATATCTTGCATGGCACAAAACACAATGTTTTCTTTTGGAACATCTGCAGATATCAATTTCTGAATGTGCATTTACACTTAAAAGCAGCAACTACAAAAATTATTTTCACTAATCATCATTATATTCTTTAAATTTTGCATTGATCATTTATTGTTCAGACATTAGATACACAAAATCCCCAAACACAAAATGCTTAAACATTATCATCAGATTAACCGTTTTATCTGATTAAAAGTCTAAAATCCATATATTTTTAAATTTGTCAGTACATGAATATAACAAAAAAAGGCCAGAAATAAAACAGATATTTTATCGCAATTTAATAAATTCAAAAATTTCTTCTCAATTGGACACCTTCTCAAACTGATCAGGTATTTGCTCTAGTAAGAAATCCTGAGATGTGGATAACATTTTCCAGGCCCCTCATTTTGAGTCCATCGTGTACAAACGTTACACCATCTTTAAGTATTGCAACACCTAGTGCTGCAGCTGATTAACAGTGGAACATTTTTCTACCATTTGACCACATATCCTGTACAACAGCTATATTAATAAAGATTTTCTCAATCATCAGCTTCAGTTATTTTAAGTGAAAAAAATCAAAATGCTAATTTGAGTGAATATGCCACTTTGCAACTTCAAACCTGAGTAAAATTTACCCTCAGTAATGAACAGATTTATGTTTCCTTGCATGAATGTGTTATTTAAGCCATATGTAATGCACTGGAGTAAACAGTGTATACAAAATTTGTGCTGAGTTTGTCTAAAACAGGTCTGTAACAACATCACAAAGCCAAGATTAAAACATCAGCACTCTGGTGGAAGAGAAATGCACACAAAGGTATCAAAGGTATCAATTTGTAATGTGCGCTTCATTATAATTTCAAAATGAGTCTAGCAACAACAAAAAACTTATCCACTTAACAGAAAAACTCAGGTTGGTTCTGTTTCTCCTACATTCTTCTTCTACATACTAAATAAAGATGTACAATGTACAGTCATGCCAGTTTTGGCCTCTTTTTTTTTTTTTTTTTTTTATACAGAGTTTGTGTTGCTCGCTGACACACAGCCAGACAGGGTCAAGGATACATCTGACTCACCTCAGGCCCCCTTGCTTTCCCCAGGGACTGGCCTGTCACTCACTTTGTGGTTACGGATCATAGCTGACAGAGGCACAAAGTGAGAGCTCGATGCTGCATCAACAGTAGCAACATCATCACCAAAACCCATCCTTAGCATGACATCTTCCTCCTAGTACACCAGCTAGCTCCCTGCACTGTGGAAAGGAAATAAACACATTCACACCAAGAGGATCATAATAAACTGTCATTCAGCGAAAGTAGGAAGAGCTAAAAATAAAAATTTGGACATTTACCTTTAAATTTTCCACACTGCAGTTTGGATGTAGAGTGCCTTGCAATAGAGCTGTTAAGAAGAAGCTGCCAGTCCTGCAAAGGTTTAAAATGATTGGGTATAATGCTTAATTTCAGCCAGTTTACTGAGATTGGTTATATCCATCTATGCTCTGTGAGCCATTTTAAAAGGGTCTCAAGCTCATTGAAACAGCACTGGGTTGGTGTAGCGTACAGCCTTTAATTGGTATTAGTTAGATGACATAATAAGCACATTTACAGAGCTGTTTAACAGCAAAGGGTTTCAAAAATCACTGATCGCACTACTTTGTTCTGTCAACATTAAAGATGAATATGCTCGCTGAAATACTGTACTGTATCACTTCAGAATACAAATGATGCAGTGGCCAATGCGTGCAGTACAAACAAATACATATTATGAGTAAAATATGAATATTTTAGGGTTTTTTGTTTTGTTTTTTTAACATCTTTAGATAGTACACAGCAGAAAATCCTGTGTTAATCACACAGAGCCCATAATCAGTTGTACAAACCTGTAACCAAAAACATGAAGAATGGCAGCACACCAAAGAGCATGTTCATGTTCAATTACAGTGTAGTAAGTGTAACGCCCAATAAAATACTGCATACGAAGGGTTCGCTAACCATATTAGCCCTATTACAAGTTTTGAAATCAGCTCATAAAGAAGAATATATGATTGTTTTGAGTAAAATTTCTCACAAACTGTTGCTCAAAACAGAGCGTTACAGTAAAATACAGATGGCGGATGAATCTGTGACAAAATTTGCTAACTATTCAGTGATTTCAGCAGCGTGTTCTCGTCTAGACATCTTCGGATTCACATTGTACTCAGACGACTGAAAACACCAAAAAATAATGATCTCGCTTTGAGCTGGCATACGAGGCGAGCTACAGCTCAGTCGACTGTGCCTTAGCTCACAGTAGTGGGCGTTTCCCTCTTTCTCCCTCTCACTCATTTTGCTGCGTGCTGCCATTTTAACTGTTCCTGAGTGGCAGGCGAGAGGGCGGGGTTGGAAGTGGCGGCCATGATGGTGGAATCGCTACACCCACTCCTGAGAAACGGCCTCAACATCAAAGCCAGTTCACACATTAGGCTATGTTCTGGTTCAGGCCAAAATCAGCGACTGTAGGCATAGGATAAAGAGCGACATGTGGTAAATAATAAAAGAAACATTTCACTGTGTCTGTGGCGAAACATTCCCATTAAGGAATAATGGTGCTAATTATTTTCTTCTAAGCCTATTAAAATAGTTTGTTTTGGGGTTTTTTTTTTAAAAAAAGGAACAAAGAAAAAAAATCTAGACATTTGTGCATATTGGCATAAAAATTCTAGACAAGATCTGATTTGCGTTTTTAAAATTCAAACTCTTCATTACTACTTTTCAGTGTTTGTCTTCTTTGGTTTCCAGATTACGTTTAAATCTTTTCCAAGGAATTATCTATGCATAAGCTCTGAGTAAGCAGAGATAAAGAGAAACACTGTGCCGGATATTAATTTGAGCAACTGAAATATAAAATTAAAAATGTGAAAAAGGTCGAGCAACATACGAGCATAACAATGTGTAACCACACAGAAAATCTGTCTCTCGCTCAACAAGAAGGCATTAAAGCCGCTCGGACAGACAAGTTCTACTCAGCATTTGTTAAAACTAAGCAAGTAACTAAATTGAATTTATATAACACATTTAAAACCAAAGTGCTTTCCAATAAATTCAAATAAATAAAGGGCCTAAAGACTGATGCTTCACACAAAAACAGCTTATGTTAGTAGTCAGTTTTTGTAAGTAAGAGTTTAATTAATATTTCTATTGGTTTTACCTCCAATTTATTGACTGAATATCACATTTGTAAATGAAATTTTAAGATTACTTACTGTGTATGATGAAGAAAACATCCAAAAGTGCATCCAGTAAACAGCAAAATCACAATACAAGTCTTCCATTTTGTGACCCAACTGAAATTATCATATAACTAGCAAATAATTAAATAAATAAAAAAAATAAAACCAGTTTTGCCAACAAATTCATGCCTGTGGTTTCTGAAAGCAGATTGCGCATTATGTAGGTCACATCCATACCCCGCCTCATTTCCCCACCTCCAACCCTGAAATTAAAAAGAAAAAAAAATGTCTTCCTTGGATGACCAAAGTAGCTCCTAACCAACTACAGTTGAGGTCAAAGTTCACTGTGTCCCCCTTGGCAACACCAGGGCAACAAACAAAAACTGTGTCTAGACAGGTCATGGTATACCCCCGCACCATGCCCAACCCAACCCACTACCCCCTGGCTTCTTCCGGAAGGAGGTGTCAGCAGTAGCCAAGTACAGGGTAAACAGGGCAACGGGGTGGAGGGGGGTGCCCTTTGGCCCTCATGAGGTCGGATCAGCACCTCCACCCTCCACTGATCAAAGATCAGCATCCTTCATGCCAGGGCCTTGGTCAAAGGGGGCAGGGTCGAGAGATGAACTCTACATTTCTGTAAGCTAGAGGTGTCCAGACCCAATTGTCTTCTTTCACGGCCCAAAATGGACCCTTCCGGTGCTGCTGATTACATTAGGGAACGACAACCTCTTTTCAAAAGAAGCACCCAGACAAAAGAGGCGCTTCCGTGCCCCTCGCCATCTGGTCCCAAAATAACAGAAAAAGTCCTAGGGATAAAAAGCCCAGCCAGCACACAGCTTTAAATAAAAGGAAAGCTGTTTGAATAGATGGGATGGCTGGACAGATAAGCAAACATACAGTAAAGCCTCACATTTACGCAGAGATTGGAACCCAATCTACATCAGCAAATAAAGCAGTGTACATGGGCTCTCTGAGTAGAGGCCTAGAAATGGTATTCTGCCTGTGCACCAGCTAGAGAAAAGTGCCACACATATATCATCATCACTATTATTGGAAGATATACAATGCCAAAGGCTCTTGATCAGGTTAAACTCATTCGTAATGGAAATTAGATTAAAAACATTAAAATATATGACAGTTCTGAACTGGTAATACAATCTAGTCAATAGAAATTAAGATAAATAATTCAGGGCAGAGTACGTCAGGCACCACTGCACGAAAAAAGCCAATGTATTGGGAATTCAAAAGGATTTTCAACACATTAGGTTGATTGCTAATTGATTTGCAACCACAGACACGGTGTACTCTGTCTGTCGTATCCCTAGTAGTTCGTTTTTAGTACTTAGTCGTCTTCATCAGATGAGTTTCTATTTTGCATGTCGTGACTTTTGAATGCCCACGATTCAAACAAAGCGAAAAAACATTGATGCAGCTGATGTCAAAGATGATTTGGCCTATTTGCAGCTCAAGTTGCCTTGAAAGAGAAGAAAAATGCTACTGACTAGCAGTTAGCACATTGTTATAGTGTCATTTATTACACAGTCCAAGTAAAGAGCAGAGTAATATCTATGGATAGTCACCATTGAAAAAATATTGTTTATTACTGAGAAATCTGACATGAAATTAATTTCTCTAATTAAAGTCCTAAAAATGTTGACTCTAAAATAAAGCAACGGGAAGTTCTGAAACTATTTTTTTTTTCAAAGATTATGACCTATTACAATTAAATACACTTTTGTCCAAAGTGTAAACATACAGGCAATTTAGGTAAGAAACATGGGATCCTGCTGTCACCTATTCTATAAAATGGGACTTTTGGAGCTCTGTTTTGCTAATGCTAATTATGTGCTCTGCTATGCATGGCCTGTTTTTCCTCTCAGTTTAAGTCCACAAGGAAATTTGGGGGAATAAACAACCTCATTAGTGGCAAAGGTGATGCTGCCCTTGATCTTGAATGCTTCTGTCAGGAGAAAGGACAATGTGCAGCATTGAGAAGTAAAGTTAGATTGAGCAGTCTCCCCACTTGGGACTAACAGCTATGTTAAGAAAACTGATTTATTTTTTTAAATAAAAATGCAACTGCAATGTGGAAAAAGCACAGCATGAAACCAAACTTCAAACATTAGTCATTACATTAGATAACTTGTTTAGGCCCAAAGCTGCTAAAAGGCTCTCCAATCAAATACTGCCCATCAATCCGCACTTTGATTATTTAGCATTGCTGCCTCTTTAAACTCCATCTTCACAGAACAAGAGCTTAGCATTGTGTTTTAATTTAATGCTTTTATTTAAGGTTTAATCACCAAAAGTTTAAATATGAATAAAAGGGATGTAGGAAATATGAAATAATGCTAGTGCTGGGAGAAAATGATTATTTAATATCCAATGAACCTGAAGAAAAGTTTTAAATAAAGTTTCTTTTTCAGTTTTCTTTTAATTTTAGAGACATTCTGCAAATATATGGCTGGTCTTACATAGTGCAAGTTTTATACAAAGATTGTTTTCCAACCTTTTCCATCTTTTCTTCATATGCTTCACTCTTCTTGTTTTCTTTTAGGAACTCAACCTAAATCCCACTCTAGTTTTATGTTTTAAACATCATACAAATAAGTAAAATGTGCGTGAACACAACCAAATAATTAAAAAAAAAATATGGCTGCACACTAAGTGATCCACATCTAAGCTGTCGAAAATGGTCAGAGGCTATAAATACACCAGCTAATTCATAAAAATGAACTGAATGCAAATGGAAGTCTGCTGGTAGGAATTCTGACAGCTAAATCCAGAGAGGAGTGGAAATTACCGTCGACTTCAATGTCTTAAAAGACCAACTCCACACATGACAACAAGCTCCTCTTATCCCTGCTGTGATGCAGCAACATCCTGCAAGATGATATTTTCATCTGTGTCATTTCTAGAAAAAGCTGTTCATATCGAAACAATATGAAGAGAATAAACGAAGGTGGTGAGGCGCTGTGATGTGTAAAGCTCCAGAGTAAAATAAGATATCAAAATAAGAGTTTGTTTTATTTTTAATAAACACTCCAAAGTTTTAAACTTCAGACATGTCACTCTGATACATACAGGTATAACTGCTCTAAAATGCTAAAGACAGACTGCATTGATGTGCATTTAGACCAGAATTTGACATGTATAAATATGGCTCAGTCACTCAATTGCCAATGCTGTAAAAGTGTAATGATGTCGCTTTCTTCAAGCTGAAAGTCAAACCTCTATAACACAGGCAAACACAAATGCACATGCACAAATTCGTGGTTGATTTTCTTTGCTTTTTGTTTTCTCAAGAAGTACTTTTTGGCTTTGCAATTATTAATAAAGGCAGTTATAGACAAGAATATCAAATTACAGGACAGCTACAGTCAAAATGTGGAAGCTGTCAGGTTTTTTAAGGTTTGCATGCTCCAGGATGGCAATTACTGCTATACCGTACATACCTCTCAATCAAGGAAACGTTAAAATTTACATTAAATGTGCACCAATCGCATGCACGATATAGCTGTTAGCCAATTACCATCCACACAGCATGACAATTACAGATAATTATTATTTGCATGTCCTGAACCAGTGCAACACTGTCATAAATGTTAGAGCTGGTTACTGCACTGTTCATTTTACTGTACATGAACTACCTCCCCATTATTTTTCCAACTAGGAGAAAAAAATAAGTAGAAAGAAAACAGCTACAACCAGAACTAAGCAAACTCTTCATACTGCACAGCAAATAGTCACACACTTGCTGAAAATTTCTACCATCTTAGAAAAAAATGTGTCAGACAAAATGCAAGAAAACAAAGCTTCTTTAGACAACAAACATGAGAAAAACTCTCTACAGTGCACTGACTCTCTAAGGAGAGTACACTTCCTGTTGCTGTCGTTGACTGACCTTTCAATCCACCAAATCATCTACAAACTTGTTTACCTGTGGCTAAAGCAAATCTAAATAACAGCAACACAGTAAAGCCCAACCCACCACTGAGTCACTGCATGGGTGTCTGCTGGGGGTTGCACATAACTGGCAGACACTAGCTCAGTGGGATAAGAGAAGCGAGTGTAACATATAGAGGGCAGGTGGTGCCAGTCATGTGGAGTACATGTGCGTCGTCCCAGTCTGTACCGTCTTAGCTCCATAATGAGTTTTTTCCTTTAGCAATCCCTAAAATTATGTCATCAGGCCTTACAGAGTACTCATTATTGACTGCAACAAACAAGCTGAAATAGCACTCAATCCTATGGAGACATGAGAAATGCATTCCAGGGAGGGACTTGAGTCGCTGTGTGAAACCAACAAGAACCAACATGACACCTGGCATTTTACAGCTAAAGTGGGTTGATGCACACTGCTGAGCACAGTAGCGAAATGGCGAGACATGCTTCTTAATTGTGCAGATTTGAGTGTAGTGTTCAAAATAAATAAATATTTAACATATGGTTGTCCAAAAAACCTGAAGCCTTCTTTTGGTTTTGCAGACAGATGAGGTTTACCAAGCTTAAAGAAGGAACTAAATCTTAATATTAGGAAAGAAATGGAACATTTAAAAACAGATTTTTGTTTTCTGGTGGGTTTTTTTAAGGATGAAATGTCTCTACAATTTAGTTTTTAAAGTGCATTTAAGTAAAGTTCATGCAATGCACAATGGGAGAAAAAGGTTCCTACAATAAGTTTTTCACATTAGAGACCATAGGTTAAAAGCATAATGCAGTTTTTAGGGGAACAATTGTGACGGTGGAGCTGTGGGAAAATGTTCACCAATACATTAAATGTAAAACATCTACGTGTAAATCTAATATAAAGGTGACCAATTCAAAGCGCACAGCAGTCAGAACCTAACTTTTTAAATCAGTGTTTTTATGACAGCACAAGGTTTCAATGCATTTCGAAGAAAATTCTCATACACATTAAACATTAACATAAGCAAAACTTTTGCAGAAAACTTGAATACTGCTGAGCCCAAAGAAAACTTTGTAAAACTACCGAGTAAAGCAAATAGCAAACAAATACAAATAAAATACCCCTTTAATGTCACTTGTAAAACATCGTGTAACACAACAGATTTATGTGCCGCTAGTTTGTAGATGCAAGGAAATTAAAAGGACACACCTTTGGAAAATATGTAATGTAATGAGCAATTACTCAAATGTACATCAAGTGTTTAGTAAAGGCGTTTTTCTAATATACAAATGTGTGCGATGACTTCTGATTGCTATTGTGAATAAAGTCAAACTACAATAAGTAATGTAAATGATTAGTGTGTAGCGAGAGTTCTAATATTTAAAGTTAAGTATTTTTAGAGTTGGAAATTGACAGCTGGAATTTAAAAAAAAAACAAAAAAACAAACAAAAAAAAACAAAACACGAATCTTATATAATACTAGACTAATAAAATCAAAGTCAAAAGAAACCCTGAAGAACTGATGCCGCCTGCATTTCTGAAGTCTTGCAGCGTCTGTGCTTTCATAAAAGTGACATGTACCCTGACTTAAAGACTGCAAACATTTTAAAGAGGGTAATTAGTAAATAGTTAAAGGAAGCAATCACCTAGCAATGAAGATAAAAGGACTCAAAGGAAAACAAACTGGAAATGGGCTGGTACCATTCACATCACAGTCGGATTCCAGAGGTTATATGCTAAGTCCTGTTAAGAGTCTCAAAGGGCAAAACATTGAACACTGAGGACTTCTGCATGAGTGTTCATAAAACCCAGCCTGACTTTAAGCACACAAACATGAAAAATATCAATTTCACATTTGGTTTAACGCTTTCACACTTTGTGTCACTGACACCCAGAGAGAAGGGCTGTGGAAGACAAAACACAGCTCCTGGATAAGGATCATGTTAATGCCTATCAATTAGGATCAAAAAGGGATTAACCGGCATGGTTGCAGCAGTGGGATGGGAGCCCATGCAAAGTCACTGAATACTAGGGGTCAAACCCCCGACTTCATTAGGCCTGACCTTTCCACGCCATTGTGTGACAGAGAGATCCTGCAGTCTGTGGGTGCAGTCTTACCCATCTTTTAAGGTTTGGGAGTCAGATATGAGACATGCAGAAAAGCTGTTGGAGATAAGTGAAATATGAAATATTCACTTTCAAAGTCCAGGGAGACTTATTAGGTTACTGCAACTTAGTGCAGGTGGGTATTTACTCATCAACCCCCACACTCTGCAAAGGAAATCAGTTTTTCACCTTAGAGAGAAGTGAGATTTACTAATTAGTCATGGTGCAGCCTTCCCTCAGTATGATGTACCGCAGGGTTGATGAGCTCTAACTCTGTCTTGCCGTCTTAATTCACAAAAGGTCAAATGGCAGAATGAAAGCAGGTATTCCAGGTGTGTTCAAATAAGACCCAATTAGGGAAAAATGCAAGTGCACCCTCAAGTCTCAGAAATCCAGCTTTGAGGGAAACTTTTACCAAAGCCACCGCAGTGGTGAAATTTTAATGCTTTTGTATGTTAAAGAAGCAGTTTTTGTAAGATATGAAACAAATGACAAAAATATAAAGCAGTAACATACACACCGATCTGCTCTACATACTATTTGCACCAAACTACTGGCTACTCCACAAATGACGTTTCTGACTTTTCACTATAAAAGTATTTTGCAGATTTATTCTTACATCTTCATTTTTGTGAATATAAAGTTAATGCAACAAGTTACACTTTACCCCAAGTATGTCTTTTGTTAAAATAACCAAAATTTGTAGACGATGGCGATGTGTACTATATTACACAGAGGCAAGGAGGGCTCTCGAACTGCCATATTATCATCTTACCAGATGTTTATACTCACTCATGGTGATAGTAGCTGATCAACCAAGCAGCTATCAATTTTAGAAGATGTCTTGATTAAAATATGCACAAAACAATATCTAATAACTCGTCACAATAAGAATGTGTTTTGTCTTCCTAATTACAAAAATCTGTCCTTTAATAATGATATGAGTCAAGCTTTATATAGTGACTACTGCACTGGTATACTATTTACTGCACGTTCAAACCTTCATTAGAAAGCCGAATACTGTTACGAACAATAAAATCTCCAAAAAGCATTGAGCAATATGTTAAACACTACTGTAAAAGCATACATGTCTTTTGACACAAACAAACTGTATAACTAAGGTCAGTTTCAAAGCCGTAGTCCACTGTAAAATCTTATGTGTTGACATCTCAGAGAAAGAGTTACACAAGCAGAAGTTCACCTCAACCCAAAAGTTTCCTCCCAGAAGGTAAGTACTTGTTGAGGCTGTTGCTCACTATAAGCAAGCACACAGCCTTGCAGTGCAGTCAAACAGTGATCACCAGGCCCTATGAACTTGTTTGTATCGTTTATGAGGGTGTTGTAAATGAGCACACTCCATTTAAAAGTCAGTGGTGGTTTTGCAATCAAATGAAACCAGGAAGTACTGCTGAAGCTGTCAATGCAACGCAGCTGAGTGGGAACAGACATGCTGCGTGTGCACATCTTAAGACTGGCTGGATCACAGCTAGTTGTAACAAATGCAAGCAAACACACTCCAGTCAACGAAAAGAGGTTATTTACTTACCTTCACAACTCTCAGAAATAACCGTGACATTTACATTGAAGTCAATGTGGAATTTCAGGCAGGCAGCCTTCTGCTAATGAAGAACTAATATTCATGTGATATGATGTTGTGGCTGCAGATTACATTCCCAACCTCAGTGAGTGTGTGCCGACTGTGATTCTTTAGTGATTTAAAATAAAAGGAAATTTAATAAAAAAAAAAAAAGGTCTGTTATCTCCAAGCCAAGATCCTACTGTTGACCTAAGATCAATTCAATACTTCAAAAATGTTATTTTGGCTCAAAACGACAGAAAAATTCACCAGATAAACAGCTTTTTATTATTCTGTTATTAAGGTTTAATGGAACCACTTAAAGAAACATTTTGAAGAGTAACATTGGATCAAAACGGTGAAAACAATTTAGGCTTATTAACAAAAGCATCTGCAGTCAAATGAACTAATAATAAATATTAATAAGTGTTCGACGCAATCAGGATTTCAGCTGAAATAATTTTGTTTTAGTAATCATAATTTCAAGTGGAAACTATCTAAACCACCTGCACGCATAAGCTGAACTTAATATGGTTTAGCATGGCTCATTTTTAAAATTCATTTAATTATTTTTTTAACAAAATCTAACAGGTCTGACATTAATCTATAGGTTTGGTAATTCTGACCTGCCTCCTGGCCTCATAACACCTAAACACATGCATAAATCCAAAGTCCCTTTTCCTCTCTCTATTTTAATGGCAACAAAGCACAGACCCAGCTTAATGTTACTGACAGCCACTGTTGTGTTACATGGCATCAGAATACAGTGTGGCTTTACATAAGTGGAGGAAAACAAGTATTTAGTGGGTGGGTAAAGGTTAACTAAATAGTTTCGTAAGACAAACTAGCAGTTCTACATCCTTTTATACAGTACATTTAAAATAAACGTTGCAATGGGTGGACTTTACTTTCCAGTGCAGTCATTAGCTCATACAACTTCATTAAAAAGATGCATCACTTATAAGAGCCTGACTGAAATCTAACACACACAAAAATACAACACTATATCGCTCTAATATAATTTAGCGTCAGTAAGCATAACTTTTCTATGCTATTCTATAATATACAAACAATATTTTATTACACTCATTACATTTTAGAGATTTATACACTCTGCTCAATAAAATAAAAACAAACTGTGTTTAAATAAACGATTAAAAATAACTTCAATAAATACGAACGATGCGTAATAATCGTACAAATCAGAAATAAATTTGCTATTAAACCGTTAATGCTGCTAAAATTTTATTACAAAAAATATAAAAGGTTTAAGATGCACAACACGCTGGAAAAAAAACATTTTATTAATCGTGTAAATGTATTATTTTAATGCGCGTTTTTATTATCGCCGAATGCCTATAACTTTTCGACAATTTACAAAGCAAATAAAATTTAAAATCAAACAGTTATTGCTTCAGAATCTTCTCTCGAATGATCATTTACATTGGGTGACTTAGTGATCGTCATTTAAGTCTGATAGACTTCAATAAATAACAAATAACAAAATATGTGTATTGCACGTTATATTTTAAAGCATGTATTCCATGTTAAACTTTTAATAGTACGTTATTAGAATATATTACGCTGGCGCTTAATTAATACTTTTGATTTAAATCTGAGGTGATGAGCATTTTCAGTAAATCATCTTAACCGTGGCATCAAAAACATTTGAAAGTCAATTTAAACATTTGAAAATGAAAAAAGAAAGCATTACGGCAATAAGAAAAAACACACTGCACTGAACAAAAATTAAAACTTTAAAAGACAAACTAAAATACTACTACCACTACGCTAAAAGTACGTTTCACATATACCCATAAATCTCTTTGACTGGAAAGTTTTAGTTCATACAAGTTGTGCCGTTTTCTGTTAGGATTTATGCCGAGAGCTCAGATTTCCTTTTCTACGTGCTACATTACAGTTATTTCTCTTTTGCCAGTGCCTAAACCTAAGATGGACGTTGATGGCTTTGCGATATCGATGGCTAAGACCGGCTGAGGGTCACAGCTGTGCAGCTGTTAGAGCAGAAAAGGGAAATGGATCCATGTTTTGGCAGACTGCCAGGAGACATCTTAAATACAGAAAAAACCTTGATTTGAAAAGAAAAAAAATGCCACACCATTGTCAAAGGAAACTGCGTCATTACGTAGCAAAAGCCTGGTGAGCTAAACATCCCACCATTTACAGGAGACAATGGCAGGTGCTGCTGCTGTACAGAGCAATGCTTTGAAACAGGCTCAGATTTTAGTTTGTATGTGCACAGAAATAACCCACGAAAAGCCTGTTTTTCCCAGACATCATCATGATGCTAGACCTCGTGACTGCACTTGTGGGTGGAGACAATCATCCAATAGAAAAACAGTATGAAGATTCAGAGCGCCTCTTGCATCAGCATTTTCCAGTCAACGCCTCAAGTATAACTTATAAGATCCATATCTATGATTATATTATGAAGAGATCAAAAATGTGTGTTGGTAAAAAAATAAAATAAAAAAAATAGTGAATGACAGCAGTGGATTTGATTAGCCAATTCTCACCATCATATCATGCAGAACTGGCATTGCAGGCAGGAGCTCAAGCTCTGGAAATGCTGGTGTGCAGCGGACTGATATTTCCCTCAGGCAATCGCATTCACTCACTGCAGCACCTTAAAGCATTCCTTGAATTGCTTTTCTCAACTTTAAACGTGCCCAAATGTGCTCTAATGAACAGGTCAACACAGATCTTACCATTTGGGCGGGTACACTTCAGGGTCAAACATATGAAGGCATGACAGACTTCAAGAAACCAGGGCTCTCCTGTGAAAATGAAAGGAAAAAAAAGCATTACAGGACAACTGTGTGTCTTAGTCAACGCTCACGTTCTTTTGCACCACACAGAACACAGCAGAAAACTGAAATGCCAAGGATTAAATTAAACACTTTGTTTTTTTCTTGTTTATCACAGCTTTCTTCAAACTATTCCAACTAAGTCTGCGGCTAAAAAGTCCCCACACATAAATGCCATATTGGCTAGACGGTAAGTGTGGCTGAAACAGTTTAAAAACAAATCGTAATTGTGCGGAAACACTTAAGCTGCAATCGTTATTCACTTTATGGTAGCTGACACAATTACAGATACATAATTTAGGAATGATTTTATTTGAAGTTAGCTTTAAGCGATGCATCGCTTTAATTTACAGTTTGATTGGAGGTAGTAGTGATCAAACAAATACTCATTTAATTAATATTGTGGTCACAGTTACAAATAATAAGTAAGACATTTCACTAAAACTGCATTACAAAAAAAAAAGAACAAAAAAAATCTGAAAATGAATCAGTAACGTATTATTCTGTGTAGCATACACCCCCAAAATGGCTCGCTATTCTGTGCTATTGTGCTACTGTAGGTAAATCACATATTTATTTATTTATTTATTTATTTTAAAAGGTATCAAAAAGAAATATAAGTCTGCTTTGCGCGCATTTCTTACCTTTCTAATTGCATTTCCAATCATTTTTTGTCAGACACTGGTTCAGGTTAGGGACAGGCCTGCAAAAATACTGCATGTTTTATATGTGGCTACATGATCAACAAGCTCACAAAAACACCTGAAAAGGATGAGACTAAAGAAGCCGTCAGACATCAGAAGAGTATGCACTAAGTAGGTGTTAATGAAGAGATCTGTCCAGGCTGGTCACTGATATGGCAAACAGATAAGCATCACAGACTTAAGCAGTGGAAATAACTCGTAATGTCAGAGGAAAGCTTCAAGCACTTTTACAAGTCAAAGTTAATACTGCCTGCCTCCCTCTCTTTAAAGGGGATTCTGTAAAGCATTACTACCGCTGCTATAATTTTTCAATAGCGTAATACCACTGTTATAAATCAATATCCACTTCAGGTGAAGCAATGCATCTCCCAAAGACATTGTAAACTTTTTTTTCTTCTGTTATCGTGCATCCCACTTTACAGCACTACCTGTGGTATGAACACACTGGCTGTTAATACAAGACTCATTCAAGTCTAAAGCGACAAAAGCTTTAAAATAAAAAATTACAAATCATAAAAACTAAAGTATAATCTTACAGACTACATCGTTATTCCAAGTAATGCTTTCTCCTATGTTAGGTTACTTTTTAGTAAACTATTTGTCTAAGACTCGCTGGATTTTTTATGAACACAAAAATATGAACATTCACACTTTCAAATTTCATTTTCAACAACACTGGAACACGACTGCATTTTGTACTGCGTATTCCTGTTGAGACCACAGCCTTCTGAAGGTGCTGGGCCAAATGCTCAGAAATGCTGAGTAGTTGCACGACAAATTTTGGAATACCCTGCAAGCCTTATGCAGTGATGAATCAGACAAAATGGCTACCAAGCGCCCCTATAAAAGACCGGCATGCAGCAGAAGAGAAAGAAGTGGGGAGGAAAGCTCTCAGATAGTCAAGAACTGCACAAAAACATTGCAACTTTCCATTTACTGGGTTGCACTGATCCGAGGATGCTAACTAGTAACAATCAATAATCGGCCAAAGAAATAACTGAGCTGACGATTACAATAAATGTAGGTTTGAAAAAAATCTGTGAAAAGAGCTGATATTCACTACCCCTTCTACGTTGTTGTCATTTATAATAAGACGTATGACCATTTTTGCCACCGTTTTCCTCCTTTACGTTGATTCATATATACGTCATGGGTTGCAACAATACTTTAGCAGCCATCTTGCCCTAAAAGAGCAGACACTGAAAGGAGGGAGGAATTCTCCCCAAGTCATATGACCGCACTGTCTGCAGACAACTGCAGTGAAGGAGGAAAAGTGTCTAGACTAGTCTGTGGCAGCAGCACATCAGGTACACAGCCACAGTGGCACACAGATTACTTTGATCGTGTTGTTAAAGCCTTACCAATATTTCTATGTTTTCTGTAAAGTCTTGTGTTTTAGGATAAGAAACTGTTTGACAAAGACATCTTTCGGTGGTCAAACCAAATTCATCCAGGCTGGGCTACAAAAGATGTTTAAAAGCACACGTAGGGATTTCAGTTTGGTGCAATACTGTAGCCATATTTATTACATTTATTAAAATATGTGTGCATTTTGAATATAGTATAGATTTCTAGATGTATTTTTTTTATCCACAGTAAGTGTTTTATTATACTTTGAAGCTACAAAAGGGAGAAGTTCAGGTCAAATTCTGAAAACTTTTAGAATTCAAATATTAATATCATGTTTTGAGGAAAATTTTCAGTTAATTTACAAAGCTAACAACATCCTGCATAACATCAACCCACACTATAAGTCAGTTCAAAAATCTCTATCTTAGCCTAATGCGCACAGCAACCAACCTTTCTGTGCTCTTGTAGGCTGCCTTCTGGATGGTGCACTCCTCTTGAACTCCAGAGCTGAAGGGTGATTCCCTGCAGAGCACAAGCAAAGACAGGAAAAGAAGAAAAAAAATTCATACAGTGTTCATTTTCCACTACCCTGTAGTCACATATACGAATTTAGATTCCGTAAATGTGCGTCTACTTGCAAAAGAAATGCATTGTAACCAAAAATGTGGTCTTTTTTTGTCAGTGTAGCTGAAAGGGTTAAACTGAGAATAGAAGAGTCCACCGAAGGCAGCATTTGCCTTCAGGTGTCTGCTGACTAACAGGTAGCTAAAGCGCGCATGGGGTTAATCAACAACCTCACGTCAGCAAAGGTGCATCACCTGCGCGTCTTCCTGAAGTAGTGAATGAGGTGAAGCCCCCACAACAAAAGAAGCTACTGCTAGTCGAATTAATACAAGTAAATAAAAATATCACAATATGCGTTATTTTATTATTTTTTACAGTCTGCTACGTAAAACAAGCTGCCTTAGATTTTAAGGTCTGCAATTTAACTGTTTTCTGTTTTTTATTTATTTATTTTTTAGTCAAAAACACATAGCTAACATTCACAAATAAACAGGTTAAAAATGAATTTAAAAAATAAATAAAATAAAAAATAAAATAAAAACTAGCTGTGTAATGCTGCAGTACACTGGGCAACTCTCACTCTGACGCTTGCCGTACCTACCTGTGCATAAAGAGCTGTCTCCTGATAGACTGCAGAAGAAAAAACTTTCACAACGTTTATCTAGAAAAAAATCTACATTTTTGCCAGAGCGTGGCGACTGGTGGGCGAAGGCGCTCGAGGAGGAGAGCAAAGATCCCATTTTCCAACAGGCGGCTTCCTTGTAAATGAACACAGATATCTAAAAGTCCATTTTCAATTTTATCTATTTCAGACAGACTCCAGACAGTCTCCAAACGGTTACGTGCCTGGTCCTGCATGCGCGTGCACGCCGAATGGCGCGGGAAGCGGCGATAACAGATCGAGAGCGACAGCGCGAGCGGCCAATGGGCAAGACGAGTCGAATCTAGTGTCCAATAATAATGGGCCATAAGCGTAAGCCCCGCCCCTCCTCCTCCTCAGCCGTCTGTTGACAGTGCACTGAATAAAACAACAGTCTGAGTTAAGCAGTTCATTGCGCTGAGATGTGGGTCACTGACTGCAGCCTATCCACGCTGGGAAAAAGGCACAGATGCATGGTGTTGTGTATTCAAGAAAAAGCATATAGTCTAAAACAGTTAACATTTTAGGGTTAAGACAGTTATATTCATTCATACCCTTTTTTAAAAATGTAGCATGTTCCTCAAGGTGGATAGATAGATGTTTAAATACATATAAAGGCCAGACAGCTTTGATAGATACGGTCTGCATAATGCTAGAGTTATTGATTTTATGCACAATGATGCAAAAGAAAGTTGTTGAATACATTAACCCTAATAGTTTCCATGTTGCCAAGGACTTTCCCCTTATTGAGAAAACTGAACCAATTTGAACCTCCAAATCAGCATCAGAAGGTCTCGGCTGATTTTTTTTTTTCTTTCTTTCAAAGTTTCATTCATTCACAAAAATATTCCTACAGACCATTACAGCCCACCCCACCCCATCCCACAGCCTTAGCATCACTTTCTCCAGACAGCTGCTGATCCTTATGAACTGACATCTAAAACTCATTGTCTGGCACAAAACAACTTCCAAGTTGGCATTTATATTCTGTCAAAGTCTACACACGGCATACAGGCGAGTTTGTTGTAAAGAACCTCTGTCCTTTGGGTGGAGAATAACAAGTCTTGTCTCCTTCGGCTTTGCACCCTGTAATTTGCATTGTTATGGAAAACCGCTGGATTTGGACAGAGCACAGAATCATTGAGGTCAGCATAATAGAGTGTGACAGGTCCCCTTTTCAAATCTATTTGGAAGTAAAATCAAAATTCCTGGGAAAGTAGATCCATGGAGCATAGAAATATCTTATACAGCTTTGAAAACAGATGTTGTGAGTGAACATGTAATGAGGTGTGGAATATATGTATTGATATGGACTGCACCTGCAGAGGTTGGGAGGCTGAAACACCAGACCTTTATAATGTCAGAAAGCATGTTATGGGCTATAAAAGCACCTGCAATGGGTCTTGCCAGATACAATTTTGGTTCCAACTTGGAAACTATTATAAATATGGGCTTGTTAAATTTCAGCACAGTATTGGGTGTGTCTGCAAATTCGCAATGCTTTGGATAAACAGCTTTTCATATTAGTTTAAAAGAAAAAATAAAGGCAAAGTCCGCATTTTGTCTATCAGTACCTGCAGTCTATTAGAATTCACTGACTATATTTCACTAACAAAGTCCCTTTACACTTTCTCAAATTAAAAATCTCACAGCATATCCCCTCCATCACCCTGGCTTTCAGATATTGACCTTGTGGTGCTACAAAATAGCTTCTTCCTCACTGCGGGACCCCATAATGAGCCAATACAATGAGGCTTCAGTTCACTGCTCACCTCTCTTTGGTGTCTCTCGGGGTCTTTGTTGACGTTTGTCAGCCCAAGAGGAATTTGGGGGTTAGAATTCTGCTGTAGTCTAACGGCCAGACTCAGACGAAACTTTGACTCCCAGACTTAAGCACAAAAGAGGGGAAAAAATAGCGTTGAGATAAGCAGGCTGTGACCTTACAGGGAAGAAAAATCAAAGGAGTGAAATGAATAAAGATAAGGCCAGATTTTGAATTTCAGCCAAAGTGACCATTTGAAAAGGACAAGCATTTACATGACAGCTGTACTCTGTTACATTAAAACTGAAAACCAAGCACTTGTTTTTTTTGTTTTTTAACTTTGACAGCTTTGCAGCAAATAACAGATCTGATGAGTCATGATACCTGCCTGCAGGGGAAAGTAAAGCTACAACTCATGTGAGTGAGAGAAGCTCTGCACATTCAGATGCCACCTCCAGATATCAAAACATAAAATTTGACTGCAAAGCAGATCAGAGACCCCCACTGAAGAAATTCCAGAAACAATGACCATCTATGGACCCTGACTGATTTTTGTACAGTCGAATTTACGGTTGTTATTAAAAAGTGGTAGATGGTGGGGTATACGTACAAAGAGGAAATGCAGAATTGGACCCCTCTACTACTTACAGTCTATAAGCAAATGTAATACTTAACAACCAGGGAGACACTGCATGCACTAGGACCATGTGGAAGAAGAGCATTCAAACTACCCCTCCCCATCCTTTCTCATTCATATCAACAGCCAAACAACAGAAATGTCCAAACCCCAACACTAAATGTTAAAAAAGGGGGGGATATAAGCGATGTCTTCAATATATTGACTTAGCTAATGTTAAAAATATTCACAGTCAGGACATGCTGGAAGATGAATATCAATATGTGGCCATTTTATTAATTTAGCTAATTGTTAGCTAAATATAAATTGTTAAGTTGCTGTTATTACATATTATGCCATATATATATATATATATATATATATATATATAAAATTGCCAATATGGATGTGAAGAATGCGCAAAGAATTTAGGCCATGTTATTGCTTTAATAGTACTTTTTTAAATAATATTTTTATCCATATGAACTACCTTCTCAATTATAGTCTCTTGATATTGTAAGAAGGTACTTCTATTTCTAAATTTAGTCAATTTTAAACACATTTTTAGAAATTATGATATCTATAACAATTTTAACACTAAATACTGTTTGGGGCAGGTGGTCCGTTGGTTGTGGAGGAACATTCAGCCCTACTTCAGGTCCTTGCATAGCTTTTAGGTGTATTTAGGGTGTGAATCCTGCTTCTCCATAAACATGCAAACTAGAGGCTGTCGCATGTTTGAAGAATGAGCCACTTCTCTTCGGTGAAAGTCAGTACAACTCAGTGCAACTCCAGAGAAAAGATACACTCAGATTTAATTATTCCTACCATGTCTTACACACTTATGATACTGATACGCTAATCTCTAACTTAAGTGATCGGTAAATAGATTTCCTCTTTTCAATTCAGTCACTTTGAAATACTGTGTTTTAATCCAATCATCCATCTGGCCTTTTTGTTCCCCTTTTTGGTTCACAGACCACTATCAAGATAACCACAACAGTAGCCATGGCAGTTCTTTTTCTGACTGGAGCCTTGCATCCTTTGTTTATCAAATTCTGCAATTGGCATACTTTTTGTTTTAAAGCTTTCATTGAGCTTTTGGTCTTGCTGATATTACTTTACTTTACTTACTTTACTTACTCTCTTAATATCTGTTAGTCTGACAATATCTGACATATAATGATAGGTAATAATCAAGTTTCTTCTGTAAAATAGGGGGAAGTCATATTTATAACAAGCGAATAATGGCTACTTAAACAAGTCTTTGATGAGCAGATCAAATCAACCCAAGTGTCATCTAAATGCTTCAATAGAAGGGAAACAGTTCGAGGAACTCTGAGATTTTGTTCTCATTCTTTGTTTGATCATTGGGATAGATACTGTGCAGGATCTTAAATATCCGTTGCCATAAGTTGTTGAGTTTTTTTATGTTTTTCAAATAGAATATGACAAATATGAATTCTATTGGCTGAACCATGAAACAATGTAAAGCTGCTTGCCTTTAAGTTTTCCTACATATAGACATAGTTAGTTTGATGAAGGTACTTTTGCTACCGACTGTAAAAGGATTTGTTTTAACTCATAAGTAAGTAAAAGTAAGTAAAATGTATATAAATAGCACTTTTCACAGATAGAAATCATAAAGTGTTTTACAATAAAACCAGAAATAAATATAAGACAATAAAATGAAAAAATAAAACAACAAATGAATTAAAAGCTTGTCTGTATAGAAATGTCTTCAGCTGCTTTTTAAAAGAATCACTGGAGCCTGTACAGCGTGAAGACCATGGAAGAGAACCCCATAAACTTCCACAGCTCATATCATGATCTTTTGCTTTGTTCTATTATAAATGTTTCACCAGTATGTTTAAGCCATGGTTCTAGCTTGTGAACAGAAGCCTAACTTGATTTATGTAATATACATTTTCCTTATGAATTGAATTTCTGAAAAGTCTTGGTGACAAATATGCTGGGAAATACTTTACTTGTCTTCTTGACCTTGGTGCCCATGGATGATGTGCACGAACTTGTTGACATCAAGTTTTCTGTAGGCTGTACTATAGAGGACTTTGTCAGCATAGCAGCATTATAAATTATATTTAGCAAGCCAAAGTAAAAATGTGGTGCTCAGAAGAGGAAGGAGAGAAGAGAGCAGGATGATAGACTTTGTATTTGAGCAGTGTTATCAATGTGTTGCTAAGATAAAGTTCTTTTTCTAAATGACTGAAACATTATTACCACCTACATGTGAAAATACATCTAGAAGCTGGTCGACTGGAAATGATTGTTGAATGTGGTTAATGGGCTTCTCTCCTTTGTTCCATGTTTATAGTAATACAGTTGTCTTCATGTCACTTTAACTAGTCGAGTTTATAGCACTAAACGAGCACTAAATGTGTCCATTCTCCGACTTCTGAGTGCAGCTTCTGTCCACAGTGCTGTTCAAAAGCTAGAATGATGTTGTTGATAGTATTGATTATTGAGAAATATAGAGAGAATGTGAGATGGTGTTTTTGCTCTGGTGGCAGTAAGGGCCCAAAAAATATCTGCCCCAGGCCCATTACAGAGTTGTTACGCCTGTGTTTAAACTAAAATACAACTGAAAACAAAGCCTAACAAAGGCCAAAGTTGACTCTTGGTTTCACATGGGACACAAACTCCAGGTGTCTCCCAGGAGAAAGTCTTGTGCTCTGCCCATTCATCCACCCTTACCTCCTCCCTATTCCAACACGTTTCACTTTTTATACTAGCTTACCATAGACTTCATAAAGTCTTCTGCCTTGAGGCTTTCTAGCAGACACCCTAAGGGCAAACTTCACCCACTAGCATAAAGCTGACCAATGGAAAGAAGTTTCTCTTTGTTCTCTGTTCTAGTGTTAATGTATTTATGTGGCGCTGAAACATATGGAATCCAATTAACAACCAGAATATTTTGTATTATTCATGAGTTTCAAGTGTTCTAAGCCAGTTTGTGATCTCTTCTCTGTATTGAAAAAAAAACTCATGCCAAGACAATAAATGCAACCTTCTGAATGCCTGAGGTTGCTTCCTTTCTAAAGATAACAATTATTTCTTCTGTTCTTCGTGATTTTATGTGTGCAAAATAGCATATTCAGCTGAGCAGGGGACTGAATTAGTTTCCTTTTCCAAGTTTCGGATTCAATCAGAAAAAAGACTCCTGGTTTTTGTTGTTAGTCATTGTTTTTTCTTAGTGAAGAACCTGTGTACTCTTCCTTTAGGGAGCAAAGTTATCAGAGAGTTGATTGAGACTTGGCAAAAGGAAAAGGAAGTACCTAGCACCACTGTCCCTTTTAGGGAACAGTCTCCACTAAAGCTTTGATATTGTGCAAGAGTACAGGTGTGCTTTTTATAGCAAAAAGGAAGATAAAAGTTTTGGTTTTAAAATGTATTTTTTGGAATTAGAAAAATAAAACTGCAAAACTAGAATTTAAAAAAGGCTTTATTTATAACAGGATTACCACTGGTGTAAGTGTTATAAAAACCTCATCAGCCTTGCCGAAATAATGCATTACAAAAACCATTATGTTTCTATAACATTATCCTTCCATTAGTGCAAGTAGTTCCCCAACACAGGTGGAAATCCTAATTTTTCATACCTTGGAAAAACATTACAAGGAGAGGTTTGAGGGCAGGATTAATCCAGCTAAAGCATGTTCATTCTTAAATGATTATTAAAAATTGAATGAGTACCATGAATGTTTAAAGCTGTGGGGGAAAGAAGCAGAAAACATTTAAAGAACAGAGAGCGCATAGGAACTTAAAATGTGCATCTCTTTTTCCTGTGGATGATGCTTAACTACAAAAAGGAGAATAGATTAAAGGTATTGCAGTGCAATGTACCCTTCATTTTATACTTTTCAATAAAGTTTTGTATAGTACTGAATTTTGTAAATGAGCTGGTACTTATGTAGTGCAGAACTCTATTTGAGCATTTAAAGTACTTTCTTACTGCAGTCCTTATTTATCCAATCAAACACACACACACATACGCATGTTTTTTTCTATGCCTAATGACTTTTAAGAATTCACACGCTCACGCTCGGGGGAAACTGCGGGTTCAGTATCCCCAGTAAATCATGCATACTAAAAGTGCTGGGAATCAAACCACCAGCCTGATGGTAGACCCGCTCTACCTCCAGAGCCACAGCTGCCCTAACCTGAAAAAAAGGCTGAAAAGGTCACTTTGAATTTATAGGTAATACAATTACTTACCAATATGCCACATAATATTCAGATTTATTATTGTGTTAATGATGCATGCTTTTTGTAGAACTAATACAAAGTCAACTTCATACCTTATCCAGATGTAAAGTAAATATCCCTCCTTCATCTTGCATGTAGCCTAGTAGTAGAGGGCGAACATATGTCTACGGAGAGAGCTCGATTTCCTGCAGCAAACCGATCCAGGGAGCTGGACTTTCCCCACCCACAATGCATCATCGCTGCAAACCCATCTCTAGCATGCTTGTATCCTGGTCGTGATCTGAAGTCATTGCCGCATAGAAGCTCTTGCCAGTCTCATATTTTAAACCATGAAAATGGTGAAGTACTGAAGATTAAATGCACTCTGCAGTACAGTAATCACACTTTAAGCGGGACGGGCCTTGCATCATGTCATCCAACGACCAGGGTGAGTAATATCAGTTGATTTTGTCGATAGTGTTAAGTTAGCCTCAGAGCTAAGTCAAGCTAACTTAGCTCGTTCGTACTGTCAACAGACGGCTTCAATGAGAGAAGGCCGCACGCTAGCCATTAGCTAAACCAGCTTTGTAAAACGAAAACGAATATAAGCAGACGCAAATACCGGACACAACGTTAACTCAACAAGTTTAAATTTGTAATACGCTCCAGCTGTGCATAATTCCCAAAGCTATTGTTAATACATTGAGGACAAAGTCAAGCGTTGATTAGCGTTGAATTTCCTTTTTGGCCTGTTTGCTAACATTATTAGCAAATACGCTCGCTGCTAGTCTGGTATCTGGTGGGATTGAAAAAAACCAATTGATTCCTGAATAGCTAAGCATAATATAAAATAAGCCATGGGTCCTATTTGCTTTCTCTTGAATTTTAAAGCAGACATAATGGTTCTCTAATCAGGTATTTTCCCCTTTTTGATCGCAGTAGCGCTTTTATCGATAGCTAATTTTGATAGCTCAAGGTAGTCGCCACCCCCCACAGCAAACTCTTTTATGGATGATTAACACTGATTATGCACCTAACTACCTGCAGTGCAGGCTGTTATTCTATGGCTTTTTCGCCAGTATCGTAGCTATACTCACAACTGCACATTTCTATAAGGGCACTATGACGCAGTTAACGCGGTCCGTATGTCCCCATAGTGATTCCTACATTGTGTTTAGATAGCATTGCTTTGTAGAGGCCATCTTACGATCACAATTACAGTAAGAGTTAATACATTTGATTACAAGCGGTAAAATACAGGCACCAGACTCTAAACACTTGAACAAAATTGGGATCATTTGGATTTTGGAATTGGTTGGGACCCCAAGGCCGGACTGACCAATGGCTTTTACCTCAAATAAAACCCATACAGAGATTGGATCTCTAAGAGATTGCTGGAGGGGGCAGTTAAAAATGTCACTTTATTCAGGATAAATAAGAGGATGATAATGCATCAAACAGCTGCAATCCTATTTTCTACACATCAGTTCTGCTACTACATTGGCAGACTACATTTAGGAGGCCATACTGACTTGGATGAAGGACCTCACACTGGATGACTGAATTGCGACTTGGCGGCAGCCTAAAATAAAAATATTGCAACCAGTTGCAATAGATGGCTTCCCCTTCCTGAGCCTACTCCTGCAGAGGTTTCTTCCTGCTTTCTTTTTCCCCACTGTTGCCAAGTGCTTGCTTAAAGGGTGGTTGTTTGTTTGTTGGGGTTTCTCTCTGTTATTGTAGGGCCTTTACCATACAATATAACTTGCTTTGATTCGACTGTTGTTGTCACTTGGCCCTGTATAAATACAATTTAAATGAAATATTATAGCGTTTAAATAAGACCACATCTTGCCAGCTGTCTGATATGCATCACTGAACAAGTCATGATGAAACGCACTGTATTGGGACTTTGTTAAACAGCAGTAAAGAGCCACTACAGGCATTAGACATGAGATTTCTTACCAAAAACAGATTTTATGTTTTGTTTTTTACTTGTTTGTTTGGTTTTTTCCATCTACTTCTTCTTATGGGTTATTTTATTTGTCTTTATGGGCCAGCTCTGGCTGTATTTTTGCCTGTATGTAATTTAGCAAGCAATCACACTTAGATATTTTATTTTGATTACCGTTTCTGACAGCATGAGCATACTGGAATGCTATGGCCTTTCTTTTTGTCAAGTTCATATGTTAAATTAACCAGTTATTCTCCTGCACTGCATGAATGCAGAAACTTTTTTAGCCTAACTTCAATGCCAAATGTAAGAGTTTGTGATTCGTGCCTTTAGCAGTCCATTAAACAACTGACTCATACATAATTATTGTTGACACTGATGGCGGTCAACTGTACAACAGTTTTTCTGTTGAAATCCCATGCTCAGTGCATGGCTGCTTTTCTAGGATGTTATTTAAAAATGGCAGCTTTATCAGGCTCTACTGTCAGAGTAGATTTTCGAGCTGAAAGCACAGATACAGAATAATTAGATGAGCAGAGACTGAATTATTAGGCAAACCAGATTCAAGAGCCCACTTTAAAGCTGCTAATTTGCCCTTTGAGTAGAATAACTTTTGCCAGAACAGAAAATGTGCAAATGTAAAAATTAAAATTGATAATAGGTTAATTAAATTTTGCTACATTATTTTCAGGGTCTTGAATATAGTTCTTGTTGCATCACTGACACACAGTTATTAACCTCTGAGCACACTGCCGGTGGAAACCTGCATGTCATGCCTTGTGTGTGTTTATGTGTGACACATGCTTCCTGCAACAGTTGTTTGGTACTTAATAGCACAAGTGGCTCTCTCGTTGACGTTGCCATAGACTGTAGACAAGGTAGTAGGCTCTGTGAATGATGAAAATGTCTACCAGTGGGAGTTCATTGTTAAACTTGTTTTTAATGGTTGGCTGTGCTGCTGTTGGCCGACATGCTTCCATTCGCTTTATCTTTATTAATTATTGGAATTATTTTTGGAGGGAAAGACGTGATGTGTTGCTTCATTCTGTTTGAATACTCTGAAGGTGCAAAGCATTCTCACTACAGATACACCCGACTTCCCACCGTCAGCAGTGACTCCCGCCATGCTGTGTAGCTTTTAACACTTTACTGATAAAACAGAAAATTATTCTGAATTACATCGTGTAATTTACCAGATAAAAGTTTCATGCTCGACTGTTTGTCAGGGAGCACCAGCCTTAGTTTTGGGGAGGGTCATGAAGGATGGTCTGCTCGAAATGGGTAGAGGCGAGAAAGGTTCATGGATGTAGAAGGACGCCCATGAGCTAAGCTTGATATTTAAATCACAATTAAATTACCTGAGCCTCTTCCAGCTTTGTCGAAGTCAGCAGAGCAGAGCACATTGTTATATCCACCCATCTTAGAATCAAAGTAGAGATCGCAATTTTCTTGGTTGAGTCTGATTTTTATTTATTTATTTTGTGTGACCTTTCATTATCAGCTTTTGCCAATCCTGATTTTCTTTCTAAGGGGTATAATTGATAGCGTGCACAAAGAAAAATCAACTTTTGCCAACAGGACACTGACATTTTTCTCTTTTTAAACCTTAATTTTTCTTTGTTCATACCAAGGCTTCTGCTTTGTGATTGGCTCTGATGTCTTTAGATTGATGGATTTGGATAGCTTTAGCTTAAGTTGCCTTTTGTAGCTTCTTTAAAATGTTTATGTGAGGGTGTTTTAAGTGTCTTATTAAGTTTGTTGTTACAAATGTTTTCGTGCTAGTTTCGTGCCTTACTTTGATGAACTTTTTGTTTTCACTGACACTGAAGCGCTTTCATGTTAATAGGAATTTTAGTATGTGGCCTGTATGAAACACACTGGCTGGTAATTGGATATAGAGGGCTTACAATGCTGAAAATGCACTGATTCCAATCCCTGGCTGATCAGTCAGTGCATCCCTAATTTAAACAATTTCAATTTGTCAGTATTTTGAGCATCCGTCCCTTTTTTTGCTCGTATGATGTCTGGCTTTCAGAGAATCAGATCATTGTACACTGCACTCCTTTGTATTATGTGTATTTTTTAACCTATTCCTATATAAATAAAGTTGGTTTGCCTGAATTGGCTACTGTGACAAATTAAGATCGTCCATGATAGACGATCTGTGTTCTTTCTCTGAAAGGTTTCAAAGAGTTTGATCAGTTTGCGTAATAGGCTCTTGATACACATGTCATTGCAACAATAACGGCAGTTTGTTGGGGTAAGGAGCATGTGCAGCAGGGTGTTTGCAGTTTAGGGGCATTTCAGATTGTGAAAAGCACATGGTCTGTTGTAAGCTGCAAAATTATGGCCAAAATAATAAAAAATAAATAATAAAAAGATGGACAATCATTTGATTATTGATTGCTTTTATTGAGGAAAAATACACTGTGCTACATTTCAGGTAACTAAAGAAGCTTTTCAGACAAGGTGTTTATTCACTTGACTCAAGTGCATCTCCTAGAAGGAAAATATAAAGTATTTCATTCCATTAATCAAACCTGGGCGATGGATATGACTAAAACTGGTAGCAAAGTACTTGAAAAGAGATTCCTCTTTATTTACCCTTTGATTGTTTGCATATAGCGCAGATTTTGCTACTTTGGAAAAATGATTGCGCTGAGAGGTAGCCCATCTTTAGTCCAGTAAATGTATCATTTTTCTGAAGCTTTCATTATGCAAAGTGTTTATTGGGTGCTTATTTTGGCTAAATGTGATTGCATTGGTTTTTCAGTGTATTTTTGTGAGCTGGATGGAAACTGATGCACTGCACAGGCTCACTTTCATGGATGTCTGAGCACCCATTGCTTTTTCCCTCAGCCTTTATTGCAGAGCAGTTTGTGGTGTGTTTTCAGGGAGTTGAAGAAGTTCATTGTGTTGCTGGTTGGTTGACAAAATTTGCCTTAAATACAAAGTATTTCCAAAGAACAAATGATGTTCTTTTTTCATTCATTTCATTCATTTATTTGTTCATTTCCAGGCACAAAAAATACCTATATTGAACATAAAATGCACAAAACATTTTATGTTCTCTTCACCACCTGCTGTATTAGACATTTGAAGTTTGTTGTATTTCTGTCTTTTAACATTATGTTACTTGTCCAGACTAGTCCAGGAAAATTGAAGCTTTGTTGCACAGGGAACAGCTGTGATTGGCACATGCAGGCACGTGGTCAGGTGCTGATTTAGGAAGCGCTTGATTTGCCTCTGCTTTGTGTTCCATTGGGGAAGCACGCGTTTTCAGTGTCGCTTGATCAATTTCAATTAATTGTGGGAAGCCAAAATGGTGATCGAGATTAAAATTCAATTAATTGTGCAGCCCGATTCCATAATGTTAGTCTAATGCTTTACATATTAAAGGAATTTCTTAGCTTTAAGATACATAAAATATATATTCGTAAAAGCGCTAGTTTCCAACCCAAAATTTAAATATTTTAATATATTTTGATTTACTACAACTCAGCTTTAACATGATGGTGGAGAAACATGCCCATCTGCGTTAGTCCTGCCAAGACATAAATTCATGTGTGGCTTGACGTTCAGCTCAAGTTTTGCATCATGGACGGTAGAAAAGAGACACTAGTCTTCAGTGTTTTTGACCAACATTTGCAAAGTAAATGTAAAAGTTTAATTGTACAGGCAAGGAGCCTCCTCCATTTTTAATGGATACACGGTCCCACTAAAACAAGCATCATAGTGAGAATAATAGGCCTATGGCATATGAAGAAAATGTGGGCTATGTCTCACCTTAAAACTAATTTTTATATATTTTGTAGTTATTTTAAGCCGTTGCCAGATTTCCCAAATCATGTTGAAAATGCAGACATATTTATTTTTGGGGTTATCTTTTCATGGAGTGATTTTTATCCTGCTTTATGTGTAACGAAGTGATTGTTCATTGTTAAATCTTACTGACACCGCATGTGATTTGGTCTTAACAGATCTGCATAAATGATAAAAAAGTGGTTCGAGCCACTATCCTGCTTGCCGCCTACCACCCACCTCTAAATCCACGTGGGAGCCTTCTGTTAGTATTTTACGTTGCTCTTGTTAGAGCTAATGTTGAAGCACAACTGTCCTTTTTGCAGATTTTGACTTTGATGAATATGACAAACCCGGTGCTGAGCGGTCACGCAGAAGGAGAGGTGAAGATCATGATCTTGAGAGGTAAACTATTGCATCCATCTCTTTATTATATTAAATGGCACAACCTGCTGTTATCATTGAAATGTGTGTAATGGATTTTGGCCTGTGTTTTAGAACTTTTACATCCCTTGTATTGGTCAAGATGCTACTGAAATTACTTATCTTTTATTGCAATAATATTATTATTGTTAAAAGTTGAGAATTCTATATATATATATATATTTTAAGAAGAGTTTACCTAAACAGGTTTAACTTGCTAGTTGAATAGAGAGTTGACAGTATTATGTAAGGCAGTATTAAGTAACATGCGGATGTCTAACTCTACTCACATGTCATTGTTTGTCTTTTTGCTACAAAAGTGATTTGGAAGAGGATTTGTTGGAAGAGGACTGGCTGTCAGGTAAAAAGGTAAGAATAAGCTAAAAGCTTTTAAAAGTCACATTTTTTTGCTGTGTGTGCTTTGTGCCAAGCTGTTGGTATGGTTTCTCTGCTTAAAAACCGGAAAACAACATCCTAAACATTAGTTGATGGTGTTTGTGGAACATTTAGAAAGTGATGCGATCAGTGGATTTGTAGCAGGTGGCTCCTCCACAGGGGGAATTGTTGATGTGAACCAGGAGGAAGTACAGTGGACAAAAAAGCACTCTGTTGACCTGTCCAGATTGCCTTCACCACATGGGAATAGAGCATCCTTTGGGGTTGGAGGTGGTCCCCTGCCCCCACACCTTAAACAGACACACCAACACACGCACACATCTAAAGAACAGTATGTTTAACACCATAATGGCCCTGTTTGTTTGTTTGTTTGTTTGTTTGTTTGTTTGTTTCAGAATCCATCAGAAATGTCAGATGAAGAGCTGAATGATGATCTTCTCAGAAGTGATGATGAAGACGTAGATCAAAGGTAATCCACTTATATCTGTGTCCTCATCTTTGCTTAGACTTCCATCATCCCTCATTTCTGTTTTATGGGATGTTAAAAATGTTTTCACTTCCTCTCAGTGGTCAGGATATCAGCGTCAATACCACATATACCCTGGGCACATCCTATGACCAGCAGGACAACTCACAGGAAGCAGACTATACCGATGACGTTGTGAACCTCGGTGCAGAGGGCTGCGAAGAAGGGGATGTGGAGGAGGCGGAAGAGTACCAGCAAGAGGATGAGGCATATACAGAGGAATATGGCCAAGAAGATGGCGCAGAGATTTCCGAAGACCAAATGGGTTACGCTGGAGAGCCAGCAGAGGCTGACGACGACTATCAGGATGGTGTGCTAAACATCCAAATCAATGAGCCTATTGATGGTGAATTTCAAGTGAGTTCTCACATTTCCTCAGTTGTTCAAATCTATGCCTAAACACACACACATTTCTCTCCCCCTTTTCTGCCCAGCTCTATTGTGTCCAAGAGATAATGTCAATTTTCTTGTCTCAGTACAGGGTCAGTCAGGATTGAAAATCTATTCAGGAGAAGGAGATGTTGGTCGGTGTTTTTTGGCAGGGGAGGATTAGATTCATTATCACTTCCTGCCGGTTAATTTCTCCATCTTGCTGACAAAGTTTTGTTGACAGCTTGTTTGGCGTGAGGTAATGCTCTGCTGTCGCCTCCAAATCCCTGTGCCATTGTGACCTTGGGCCTTGTATCTTTGGGGGAGTAAGAAGCTGCTTTGTGTCAGGGAGATGTGCTGCCAATCGGCAGAGGTTAATGTGGGGGGCTTTTATCTCTGCCTTTAGACTGGATCTGATAAAGTCTCATGCAGGTGAAAAGATTATTGACCTTCCCGAGGACACTCCATACAGTTTTCTAATGATTGATGTGAGTTTCCCTTTTATTCGTTTTCCTTTCCTCTTAGCCTGGGCTAAGAGGATCAAAGATAAGACCAGATCCATGTGCAAATGTCTGTTATGCTCCATTTACCATGGTGTGATTGTGTGTGTCACCTGACAGAGATATATTAGCCTACCGTCTTTCTCCAAACAACGATAAGATGTTGACCTTCTTAGCACAAGTGGCTGCCTATTTTGGATTGGATATTTTGGAGATGTCTGCAGGTGTGGAGGTGTATTTCAGCTATCTGCAATGCCTGTTTACAAGGTCACTAGACTGCATGGCCTTGACATTTTGCTCACTGTGGTATTCATTGAGCATTTTGTGGAACAGTTTAAAGGATTAAGCTGTTCTTGTGCCTCCCTTGGGGCTTACTGTCCATCCGCCTGGTTTGGTTGGAATATCCCCCCCCCCTTTTCTGCCTTTTTACGTGGCGCTGCTGCTGGCAGGTTAATGGAGCACAACACCTAACATCACCTAACATCACTGCAAGACATACAATCTGACCTTATTCAGCCATTGGTATTTGTTCGCTGGCAGCTCATATTCCAGCTATGTTGCACCTTTTGTGTGTTGATTTTTTTTTTTTTTTTGACTGAGTTGTGTATTTGGATCACAGCTCAGTGTTTGCATCATGGGTTGAAGTGAAATCAGCGTGGACAGTAACGGAGTGATTTGTGAGGAGTCAGTCAATGATATTTTCACCATCATTGAAGCGGGGAGGAGTGTTTTTATCTGCGCCTGCATTTCTGTATATCATGTCAAACATTTACATCTCATTGAATTTCAAATGCTGTCAGGAATAGTAATGAAGCCTTGCTCCTACTGTTATGATAATTTGAGTTTGGAAGGGGTGGGGTTGTCTGGTGCCTCCCCAAAAACCTCACCATAGCATTTTTATTTTATTTATTTTTTTGTCCTTTTTTAATGAGAAAAGTTGAAATTTTATCAATCTGCACTGCAAAGTATGTCATCATGTCACCTCTTGCGTTCATTTCAGCTCTTAGTGATGGGAAAAAAGATAATATATAACAGCATTTTTATTAAACAGAATGTTTTTTTATTTTCAACAGAAACAGGAAAAATAAAAAATTATTTGCTCATTGCCGGTCCTAATCAGAAATCTGTTGTCAATTTATTGATGCATATTAACCGTTTCATCTTTAAAGGATGAAGAATACGAAACCCCCTATGGTGATGAGCCTCTTGATGAAGATGGAGCCCAGCAGGAGGAGGGCGCAGGGGAGGACACAGAGGAGGTGGAGGGAAATCAGCAGAATGAAGACACTGCTGAAGGGAATCGAGTCTATGACATGGAGGAGGTATTCTGAAGCCAGCTTCTTTAGATTCATTGTTTTTATTTCAGTGTTGAAACGGGATGAACAAGTGGTGCTACAACTTCACATGGTACAGTCAAGCTCGAGGGCTGGCTTTGTTAGCTAGGAATGCATAGAGCTTGATTGGTAGCAATGGGAGTATATGCTTTAACCTTTTGGCTACTGGCCCCCAACTGTTGGTGTATATTCAATAAACACCAGCATGAATTTTAGGATGTCCTTTCATGCAATACAGCCAATGATGAAATTAAACACAGCAAGCCACAGAGTAAAAATGGTGAAGCAAATGTTAGGATAGGAGACGTCTTCTGCTTCTAACATCGGAGCATGTCCTTCAGGGTGAAAATGAGGCTGTGCGAGAAGAAGAAACAAAGGAGGAATCGGATGAAGAAGACGAGGAAGATGAAGAGTCTGGCCGCATAAGGTTCAAATCTGAAAGAAAGGAGGGCGTTGTTGTGCGCCTGGCAGATGCAGGCTCCAAAAGGCGGAACATCCCTGAAACACTAGGTACAAATTATTCCTACTGGGAATAATTTATTCTGTATCCACTGACAGCCTGAATGCTTAAAGATGCTGAAACATTGAATCTCTCTAAACTCTTATAGGCTTCATTTACATTACTTAAACTTCCGTTGATTTAAGTTTAATGTATGAGTGCCTCCTTTTCCTGTTCCACGTATAAACAGAACTGTCAGAGAAGGCCAAGCGAGATTTGATGGAATTCGAGGAGCAAGAACGGCAGAAGAAACAAAATCGTCACGGAGGCAGAGGCCGAGGTGGGGGACGAGGAGGCAGAGGAAGAGGAGGCTTCCCAGGGTTTGAAATGGGAGACTATAGAGGAGGAAACCGAGGAAGAATGAACGACCAGAGATTCCCCCCGATGGGAAACATGGGCTTGCAGGTAAAGCACTGTCAAGTCATCCACCTGAATGTTTTTAAAGCATTCTCCTATTTGGCTGCACAGAGCATTGCATCACTCAGTACTGTGTCACTTCACTGTAAGGGAGCATGAGGGCTTCACTGAATAAGATGATTTGAAATGGCTCAACTTTTTACCTCCTTGTATTCGTCACAGTTACAAGGCAGCGTGTCTAAGTACTTGACATGTATTTATTTTGCTGCTGCTCTCCTTCCTATCTAAAAGCACCACAGCAATGGTTGATTACACATGGAAAGAAAGTCAAAGCACTCTCTGCTCCCCTGTAGTCAGTGATATATGGATTATAGAAAATGATTTAGCAGTTGTTCATTTAGACAGCATTATAAAAAATTGTTTGCTCTTTACACAGGACTGAGCTCCAACCATTTAATCTTTTGATATACATTTATTATTGGTGAAAAAGTCACATTGAGCATGTACCATAATGTGCATGTGTATGTGCAAGTAACTAATACTTTTTCAGCACATCCTGGGCCTTTTTATACACTGGTATATGATATAAATAGTTACAATGTAAATTAATTTTATCAAATAAAAATGTTATTCTTTTTTTTGTGTAGGTGTGTTGGGTTTCTTTACGTTTTTAGATCAAGGCTTCAGGTAACAAATAAAAGTATGAGTTGGGTGTTTCCCCCGTTGTTCACAGCTTGAGACTGTGATTAAAGTGATTCTTTTTCAAGGCTAGATGAAATCCAACTCCAGCACTGCATTATTTTAGGTTGTATTAATTAGTGTTAATAGGCTTTAAAATTCAAAACCAAACGTAAACACTGGAAATGAAAATTTAATGGCACAGGGATGACATGCCAACACCACAAACATCCTGCTGGCTGCCGTTAATGAGTGTGCGCTTTTTACAAGGCACTCTAGTTGTCAGGCTTAACTATTTGACTAATTTGGTCACTGGCATGTTTGTTTGTTTGCTCGGTAAACATATTGACCAATTATCAAGGACCCATTTGAAACATCACCTAACTATATAATTATTTTTTTGATGCATCGATGGCAGGGATATTCCAGTGGTAGCAGGTGGCATGACTTTTAAGTGTTGGCTTTGTTTGTTTTTCTTAATTTTTGTAGCATATTTCAAAGATTTTATATTTTTATTGAATGAAGGTTGATGAAATCTAACGCTGGGTTCACAGTGCAAAAATTGTCTACCTGTAATGATGGTCACTGTGGCAGAGTTAGCGATCATAGTCATTAAAAACCTGCCTTTTTGTAACTGAGAGACATGACGGAGTACTTGCTGTTTCTCCTTTATTAATCATGATTGCACATGATATCTATTGAGCTACACTGGCAGCATCATTCCTGTTTTACTTTGCTCATAATGGTCAACCTCACAAAATATTCTGACATAGCAGGTTGTCAGGACAGTTGCTCCAGTTTCCATCCATTGTTATCGTTTTCGATTAACAGTGAAGCCTACATCATCTGTATGAGGCCACAATCAGGCTGTTATCACAGAGTCTGAACCCAGCATAAAGAAAACAGACGTATATCGTATTTCTACCATACCGTCTTTGCTCTTGCTGTTGAATTGACTTGTTGGTGTGTCCTCGCATCATAGGAGAATCCAAAAGATCGGAAGGTGTTTTGACGGGTTGTTTTGGTTTTCCCTCCTCTCTGCTTTCCTTTCTCTTTCCAATTAACAGCAGTCCTCGCGAATGCTTCCTCCTCATCAGTCTCATCAGCAGCAGCTGCATTCCCCGCAGCACCACCCCTCACGTCCAAGCGGACCGCCTCACTTCCAAGATCACGGGCGTCCGCTTCCTCAGCAGCCCCTTCAGCCCCTCATCCCTCCGCACATGTCTCATCGCTCCCCGCCGCTGCGACCTCAGATGGAGCCGCCACCACGACTGATGAATTCCCCGCCACCCAACTTCCCTCCACATCACCAGCAACAGGCTCCACAACCTAAGAACATCCACATTAACCCCCACTTCAGAGGGCCTGCAACGTCACCCGTTCAAGGTACCTTTCTCCAGCGTCAACCCAGTGCTTTCTGGGTGACTTTTGTTATTTAACCTAATATATCCCTCTTATTCAGTTTTTCTTTGGATTAGTGTTAAAACTAAAATTGCTGGAGAACTTATATATTCAACAGTTCTGTCCATTAACAAAGGGATCAAGCCAATCTCTCATAATTATATACACATTTACAAGTTTTAATGCATAAGAAACCACATTGCTTTAGAGAGTCGTATTTGTTGTGTGCAACTTTTTGGAGTCAAAGACATAACACAAAAAAATCGAGAAATTGACAGGAAACTGAGAATCCCACCTGCGCACAAAGTCAGTCAAACGGTGACTTCATTAGCATTTCCAGTGTTTGTTATTGTAGCTTCAGTGTCTGCAAATAATCTGTAAGTGGAAAAAATTAGTTTATTGAACAGTTTTCGATGCATAAACTTCAAGTAAGCAACACAGCGTTTTGCCCCGGGTCCTTGTCCGGCAAACCTCTCGGCTGTGAGGTGGGGAGGGAACCCCCACTCAGTGTAGCCACACACGCCTGAGGCTGTGACCGAGCCAGTCTGCCATCCCATTAGTGATGATGGTCAGTTCTTCATCTTTGGGCCGTGGTAGTAATTGTAACTGATGGTTTCTTATAAACTCAGTGAAGTTACAAGAGGCTGTTTATCTATTTGCCTGTTTATTAAACCACAGTAACTGGCAATGGATACTGTTAGACATCTTTAATTTAAAAACAAAACAAAAAACAGGAAATGAACACAGATTAAGGACAAAGATAAAAGTTAATCTAGAAGTTGAAAATCTGGGCTTTGGCCTGGCTTTCATATGATGCGAAAACCAAGCTAAAACCCAAATTAAGCCATGTTTCTTTATGGTGGCTGGAAATGTATTTAAACACTTTTTAGAGTAGATTCACAAAATTATGCCATATATGACCCGATGAGATGTCTTGTCAGATTTTCTGACTTAAATTTGTTAGTATGGGCAGTGAAGATGAACAGTGTTACAATAACTCAAGTATGCATTCATTCACTGAGATGGGTTATCTGGCCTGTCTGTCCAGGCCGAGATTGAAATTGTGTTAGGAAAGCGTGTGCAGTGTGGGCTGTGCTCCCAAGAGAAAGGCATTTGCTGGAAGATCGGGGGGTGCCTGAGGTTAGGATTGTGTGTGCATATGTGTGCAAGTGCATTTTATTTATTTATTTATTTTTGTACATCTGTGTTGTGCAGTTTATATGTTCCACTTTAATTTTCTTTACCAGTGCTGGATGTTGGCATATGGTTTCACCAATGCTTATTAAGAAAATCCCATTAAAAAAAATAACATTTGAAACAATAAAAAATTTCTTCTTTTATATTTGTTGATTCAAGCAAGTATTTACTATTTCCTTGAGCTCCATGGTCTGTACCTAACTGGGGAGGGGGCAGATTTGTGCAGCAACACTGAGCTAAAATTTAACATGTACCCCTGACTAAGAGCCTTTAGCATGGATATGTCTAATGGTCTCCTTCCTTTCTACAATCACCACCCTCTCTCTCTCTGCCTACTGCCTCTCATTTTCATTTTCTCCCCCTCCCCCTCTTGCTCCCTTTCTACCTCTCATTGCAGTGCCCTTGATGCCTCCTGCTCAGAGCCAGCCCAGACCTGCTGTGGGTCCTCAGAGGTTCCCTGTGAGTAGCAGCTGCTCCTCTACCTCTCTTTCGCCTCACTTTCTCTCCTCCTTCACACGGTTAGCGTCCCTTTTAGTGAGGGCAATATCATTACTTCAATTAGCCTGTCTGCCCAGGCCAAATACTGTTAAAGAAAATCTGTAAACACTGATAGGAGCCTGGCTGCACAACTGGAAATGCGTGATAGGGGCTTTAGGCGGTCGACTTTTAGAGGTTGGGGCTGCAGTGGCGGGACTTACTTAGTAGCTCTTTATGGATGGGCTGGGGCTCAGACTAGTCAGCTTGGCATATAATGGAATTGTGAAACCAGGATATACTGCCAGTTAAAATTCACTTTCCACAAGTTTGTATCCCAAAGGCACAGAGACCTTTTTCGAACAGTATCTAAATTAGTGAAACGGGGTGGTGGTTTGATGGGGCTCGGGTGTACCACATATTGCAAAGGCAGAATTTCACGTCAGACGGGCTGATCTTAAGTCGGTGATTTCCTGAAAGAAAAGGTCCTTTATTTCACTCACAAAGAGCCCATCCAAGACATGACAGAAATGCCTTTAAAGTAATTACTGTATTGAAGGAAATCACTCGCTAGAAAGTCACCCAGGGTGCCTTAAGTTACTCCATCCTTCTACTTAATGATGCTCAGGCATCAGGTGGTGCTGGTACTGACTGACATCTTTCTGGAGAGCGCCTTTTATATGGATTTATGCAAATGAGACATTGGAAATGGCTGCATCCAATTGCGCTCATGTGAATTTACAACCCTGCTGCCAGATGCCAGACCTCTGCACAGTAGTCGGTCTTTGTCAAAAATGTATTTTTATTTACACACATTTCTGGCCTTTAGTGTCAGTATCACAGCATTCCGGTTTCTTGAGGTCTGTGATTGTGCTGGTTATTGATGGCACCGTAGCAAAGAGCTATTTTGGCAGTACAAGGGTGGGTTGGAAAGGTATCCAGACAACTGGACTGATGAACAGCATAGTGTTGGATTCCCCAGCTGTCAATTGCATTTAGGCTGGTGTTGCCAAGGACACAATTTGAAATGCAGGTGACATACCAGCCGGCAACATCCCATTTATCGGCGGGCACCTGATTACTCATGATTATCATACATTATCATCCCATCAAATTTAATTGTTAATAGGCCAGGCGAATTGGGGGTCATAGCCTCTAGTATTACTGCATTAAATTTTTGCTGGTGGAGACAGGTTTTGAAATATTAATCTCAACACCAATTAAAGTCATTATTACGAATATTTTTACTCTTCACACATTTAGTTTCACCACAAAAGAGCTGCAACTAAGGATTATTTTGACAATTATTTTGATTTGGTGCCCGTTCTCAGTTAAATATTGATTAATATTAATGGAAAAACCAGGAAATAGCCAAGCATGCGCTTTCTATCTGCTCAAAGCTAACTGTTAAAGTCAGAAAGCTTGTGTTGTCTTAAACCTAAACAACAAATGCGTTTTAAAAAATTATCCGATGATGAGTCGTGTCTGAGAAAGAGACGCCTGCTCTGCAGACACTTTGTAGGAATCTTTTCTCCTTAGCTATTATTAATTTACAGCAGTGTTCACTACTTTGAAAATAGCACAAGTAGTAAATGATATCAGTCTTATGTTAAACCCAGAAACAAAAACTCAAGTTTCCATTCTTTGTTATATAGTTTGACATTTGGCCCATCTCTGTTATATTTGTCACGGTTATCCCATCACAACTAAGCACTGTCCTTGCATCAGTTACATACCGAGTCGACTGTTTATCAAGGATTAGACGTGAGAGGATGAGCCGTGTTATTCGAGAGGTATTATATGGACACTGGAGTCCTCATTGTGCAAACCTGCCTGCCTGACCTTTCAGAATGGCATGATTGTGCCCCCATTGTGATCCTCAGTCTTTGTAAGCCTCTTTGATTAACTTTATGTTAAGCAAGTTTTTGGGACTCTGGCCTTCTAGCTTTCTAACACCTCTTCTCTCTAAATACCTCCACACAGCAGTGGAATAAAGATGGATTAAGCCTTGATAGCATCTTAAGTAATTTACAATAGGCTTGGAGGAGGCAAGCAGCCCATTTGTGGAAGTGGCACGTGTTGAATAGCAGGTTAATTTTTCAACAGAGATGGATGTTTAAAAGAATAAAGGAGACAGTTATGAGGGGGATTCGAATTCCAAGGAGGGATTAAATGGTTATCTAGTTTTCCTTGGAAGATAGATTGGGAGTGGTGTGCATGCGATGAGTGGAAAGCTGTCTAACATACAGAGTGGTTGAAACAAAGATGAGGGCACTTATCCCCTCCTGAAATACCCTTTCCTTGTTAGAAAAAAAGCCTTTTAGAAGCCCCGAGTAGCATTAATGCAGGTTTGCTCACAAATTCATGCTGAAGGGTTTCTTTAATATTGGCATGCATATTGATGTTTACAACTCAAGATTCTGCATCTTTTTAATGACCCTAGCACCTCAATTACAAGCGCTTTCTGCCCAATGCAATACCTCACAAATTCCCATTTTTCATTAGTTTAATTTGTTTGTGATTATTGAGTTCCCAGAATGGCCTATAATTCATGAGTTTTGTGTTTTCCCAGGGACCGGGAGACTTTCAGCAGCACATGCCTGGTAATTTCGGTCAGCCCCAGCGGCCCCCTCATCACATGGAGCCTTTTAGGAACCAGCCACCTCAAGGCCCCCAGGACAGAGAACCCCTCTTTATGGGAGGTGAGTCTCACATCCAGCCTTGATGAGGATAACAAAGCTCTCTTAGCATATTTAACCCTGTTCATCATCACCTCTGGCGCTATACCTACAGGGTATGCTGCTAGCTTTCTGGTTAGCAGAACTCATGTAGAATTCATGTGTGTATATATTTATATACGTCAGAATGAAACCTGGAAATGGCATTATACATATTTCATTTGCAGAGTTAATAACCAACATGTTTGTTTTTCCGTTCACCTTGAGAGAGCTGGCTGTATCCGTTTTTCATGCTATAACAGTATACATCCGGGGTCTTAGTTACCGGTGTAGTCTCAAGGAAAGAAAGCTGACATCTCCCTTATGTTGTTGTTATTCCTCATGTGGAAACAGAGCGCACAGATTCAACACGGTTTCCAGGGCAGCACATGTTTGATCACCAGGGCCCCGGCCCTCTGATGAACAGCAGCAACAACCTCCACCAGCAGCAGCTGCCCAGCCAGGGCCACATGGGCTTCGGCCCACCAGGACCAGCCTTCAACCACCCGGGCCAGGGCCCGCTTGGACTGTTTGGGAGAGAACCCCCAAGACACAACATCCCTCCCCACCAAAATCACCCGGGAATGGTGAACTTAAATCAACAAGGTGGACCCCCCAACCAGCCCAGGCCTTTCATGGGCCCTCGTCAAGCTTTTGGCCAACAGGGGAACCTTTTCCCTCCTACACAAGTTCCGTTTGGGATGCAGGTACGACTAAGAGTAAGTGATTTCTATAACCACTAGATGTCTGTGTGTATTTGTGTCTGTTTGTTTAGTGAATGTTTGTTTATTTAACCCTTTTTCTCCTCTTCTACCACAGTTAGACGTGCTTTCTAAATTCAATAATTTGGTCTGACTAGTAATCATATTCATTGCTGCTAAAGTGTTGAGGCTCTTGTGTTTGGCACTGCTGCATTTTGACTGGAGACATAGACAAGAGCGCCCTCTAGTGATTAAAGCATTATTTTAGTACTATTTAGTTGGATGCATGAGGACACAAGTTAGAGCTCAATTATGTAGAAATTTCTCGTTCCAATGTTGGGAACAACTTTCAGAAAAACTAGTCCTGTTTCTGTTGTTTCAGAAAAAGATGTGTTCATTAAGCTTTTCTTCCTTTCCTCCTGATTTTTAAGGGCTTAATGCACGGCCCTCCTGTTTCCCAGCTTCCACATCATGATCCGCTGTCACCCCATCAGCCCATGCACCAGCAGCAGCAACACCATAGGCAGGACTTACCCCACCATCAGCAGCCGCCGCTAAATCTCGGTGAGCCTCGCCCCATCATGCACCATGGCCAGAATCCTTTCCATCAACAGCAGGGGCATGGCAGCCCAAGGCAGATGAATCCCCGCCCTCTGAACCCCCAACAGCGCCACATGTCTAACAGGCAGAGAATGGTGAGTGATTAACATATTATCTCATTTATTTTATTCTTAAACTGGTCGCAGTTTAAGAATGAAAGAATAAAATGTTGCCATTGTTGTTATATGTATCGCGTCTATTTTTAATCAGTAAATAAAGACTGAGCTAAATGGTTTGAAAACATAAAATTTGGCCTTTTCTTCAGAACACACCTGTCTCCAAGCAAATGCAGCAGCGCAACAGCAACCTACGTGAGCTCCCTGTAGCACCTGGCAACACAAACACGAACAGCGCCCGCCCTGCCACCACCCCCACCTCCCCCGCTGCCAACATCAAGCCTGTTGCCAGGACAACACAGGGGATGCGTCCTGGGCAGAACACTCAGCCGATGCCTGACGGTGGCAAAGGAAGAGGCCAAGCTGTTGCGAAGACTGAATCACAGCCTGAGGGAGCAGGCAGGACAGTTGTTCGCAAGGAAATTCCACGCACGCCGTCCGGCGTGACACCACAGGTCAGGACTCGAAGATCAAATTTTTGTTGGTTTTTTTTTTTTGTCAGAGACAAGGACAAAAGAAATAAATTTTAAAAAATGAGCATGTTTGGATAATACATAATGTGTTTATAGTAATGTGCTGATTTTTTTTTTCCAAATACACTTTTTTATAAATCCTCTGGTATACAACACAGTGTCAAAAATGTTAGTTGCAGCATTGTTTTTCCTGCATCATGAAATTCAAACCATCGTAAGCTCGTGTCCCAAAAGTAAAAGAAGGAAATCGGTGTTAGAGATGAACATTTCAAGCTAAAATACTCTAAAGTAGTCATAGGAAGCTATTTGACTATTCAAAGATTACCCCTCGGCACCCACTCTCATATGACTGTGGATATATATGCTCTATATACCTGGAAAACTATGGAGTGGTTGTTGTCATTCATTCTTTAGAACTTTTTAATGGCCATAGATGTTTTTTCTTCTTTTTTTTGTTTGTATCAGAGCATCTAATGTGTGTCTAGTAATTGTTAGTGAAGGCGGTATTCTTCTGTTTTAGTTAGAATTTATAATAGGCTTGGAGGAGACTGGCAGACAACTTATAATTTCATTGCTGCCACCTTCTGGTAGTACTGTTGCATTACATGCTACTAGATGCCAGTAAAAACAGGGGAATATTAATATATAATAATAATACTATACATTATTTTTTAAAGTAATGTAATCTAAAAACATTGATGTGTGTAATAAGTACAAAAAATAACTTGCTGTATACTAAAGTCTTTGGATTTTTACTTGCTAAAAATTCACCAAAAACCAAATCATATATTTGCTGATGACATTTTCACATGCTTTAGACTTAATGCCCAACCCAAGCACTAATGATTAAAATAAGACACAGTGCTACATCCAGGAAGTGAAGTGTGGCAGGCATATTTCCAGCTTGTGTTTTGTGCTACAGGATCCTGATGAGGATGAGGAGACACGGCAGTATCGTCTGAAGATTGAGGAGCAGAAGCGTCTGAGAGAGGAGATTCTAAAGAGGAAGGAGATGCGACGGCAGATGCAGGCTGGTGTCAGGAAGAAGGAGCTGCTTGAAAGACTTAATGCCCAGGCACCAAGCCAAGGCACCACTACTACACAAGCTCAGCCCGAGCAATCAAATAAGCAAATACCACACCCTGTACCTCCAGCACAACAACAGCAACAGCAGCAGCAGCAGCAGCAGCGGCAGCAGCAACCACCACCAGAACACAAACCACAACAGCAACTGCAACCACAACAGCAACTGCAACCACAACAGCAACTGCAACCACAACAGCAACTGCAACCACAACAGCAAAGACAGTTTCCTCAGAGAACACAACAATCAGTAAATCCCACATTAAAGACTGGCAATATAGGTAACACCATCCCTCCCAGCAGTGCTGCTCAGACCCCCGCGCCCCGTCCCAATGTCAAGACACGGCTGCAGATGGTAAAAGGCAGCATTCAGCAGCAACAGCCTGCCCGGCCTGTTAAGCAACCCCAACAAAATCAGCTGCAGCCAGTGCAGCAGCGAAGAAACAGCGCTTTGCAGAACGTAAACCGATCTGGTGCTCCGATCCAAACCGTTCAAGTTCCTCAAAGGAACGTACCTGATACTCCTTCAGCGAGTCCAGCCCTGGCTCAGGCTCAAGGACCTAAACTTGGCGCTAAAAGAACTGTGATGCAGCGGGCAAGGAGTACTAGCTTCGAGCGCCAGCAGGTGCCGCAAAAAGTCAGAGTCGTCAAACTTTCAGGAGCGGTGAGCATATGATTTCATTTTTATCCTACACCTCTTTGCCTGTTTTGGTTTGACATTTATTTGATCCTCTTCAGCAGATTTTACCCACATGGGAAACTACACAGTTTTGAAAGGAAATGCCACTGATTGCCCTCACTGTCTGTGTTGCAGTCCAGATGATATCTAACCTATGGGAATGACATAGTGATGTCTGTGTCATTTTGGAAAAATTGATCTGTTAAGAGTTTCCTCTCTTAAGCTTTGGGATCTGGTATTTAACACAGTGCCTTTACATACATTTTACCTAGAGAACACAGAAAGGCTGGAGGCATTAAAAGAGAGCAATATGACATTTATCTGTGGAGTTGGGGACACCTCATCACTGCTCCTAAAGGTTGATATCCTCTTTTCAGGACAGAAGAGTATTCTTTTAATGATAAAGGCCTCGGAGGGGGTAAAATAAGAATGACGGTAACGGCGGTAAAGTCCAGAATTACCACTGCTGTCTGTTTTTGTACTTGCTTGATAAGTTACTGCTGTGGCCTTAATTGCACATTAATCTTTATTGAAAAACCACAAAAGCGTGCATGTTAAACATTCATACTTGTCACTGATGAGATGTGTTGGTGGGATATGATAGTATTTGAAATAAGCTGCTTTTCGACTTCATCCCAGAGGATCAAGCCGCCGAACCAAAATCACAGGCTGGCTGCAGATGAAGATAACTGGGTGTCAGCGCGTTAATGGAAACCTGCGCAGAGCTATCTGATGTAGCGCATCTTGGAGAAAAAAAGAGGAGTGGGATGTGAAGTGGGGAGAGAGAGAGATGGAAAGGGAAAGAAACGGCTAGGGCCCTATAGCAGCAGTGAAAAGAACATTCTCCAGGTGCTCTCTCTTCCACATTGTTCTGCTGTCATCAACGGGAGCTTGACAATGTTATCTCCTTTCCTTATTTTTCCTCACACTCTCTCTCCCTTTCTTGTCATCCCTCAGTTGCTTTTTTCCCTCAGCCCATCTCTCAGGTGCGAAGCAACAAAAGATGCCAATCCAAGACTCTTGTAATTAATCTTTTTTGGTTGAAGGTGGTGGCGGTGGGGGGAGAAACATAATACCTGTGTAAGAAAGTTGCCACTTTTGAGGATTTGGATTTGTATGGCTTAGGCACACAGATAAGAGGCAAATTATATTTTCATCAGGGATAATACAAAGCAGTGCAAAACACAAAAGCTGGGGAGGAGGGGAGCGCGCAAGGGAGATGGGGTACACATCGAGCTGCTGTCGTTTCAGTGTAATGCAGCTTAGCATTTGATGGGCGCAATCAGGAGCTGTGATTTCTATAGGAGGGATTAATCCATTTATTCTCAGCTGGGGACAGGTCAGAGATATCGCCTCTTTTCTTCCCTCGTATTGATCTGTCACATCTTTCTGCAGACTCGGGGAGGAGACGACCTTCAATTCCTCCCTGCATGTCAACACAGTTGAGCTGTGACTTTATTTGATAATGAGACCATCACCTTGTTGAGCTGATCTTTATTCTCCACAGCCTGGCGGATACGAATCCAGCGTCCAGTCCTGACAGATTTTAACGCTGTAGATATGTCCTTGCATTTCTCCCAGTTGCCCATAAACCACTTTTCCCTAAATGCTTAATGTGCATAAGGTGATTTTAAAAAGTGGGAAGTTTATAATTAATTATTATTATTTTTTGAGATGCTAAATTAGTTTTGCCCTCCATCATTCCCATCCAGAGTGGAAAGGGGCCTGAGGCCACAAGCAGCCCAGTACAAGAACAAGGCGCCTGGCCAGCAGCTACGCTCAACCAGGGCATCCAAAGGAAAGTTACCATGACAGGACAACAGCAACAGGGACCAGGTGGACCGTCACAGGCTAGCCGCGGGGGCATGGGCAACCCACAACAAAACAGGGTATGCTCAAAATGAGCTCCGTTTCTTTTGTGGTGTAGACACTAGAGAGAATTTCGCCTGAAATGTGATTATTAATGGAGGTCAGTGCACATGCGATGGCAGTTCTGCTATAAAAGAAGCTGAAATGACTCCTGTAAAGTTGTCCTGTGCCAGTGGCACTCCTGTGGCATTCAGTAGACGTACCAATCGAGGAGTTGTAATAAGACAGGACAGTATGCCAGGTGCGGGAGTATTGACAGGCTGAAAATGGTGTAACACAGGGGGACTACACAAGGTCCCCTGGCCTCTCTGCACGCCTGTCACCGCCAGGCTCCTGTCACTGTTACCGTACTCACTGGCGCTGACAGGGTAAGGCAGCCACCATAACGCTTGCATGGCTCCTCTCCCTTTATGCTCCCCCGCCCCCCAACGCATACAGACATATTCCCACTAGCTCCTCTCCTCTCTTCCTCCTCCCCTCCTCCTCTTCTTCCTCCCCCTCTGCTGCTGAAGCAACATATCTCTCACTCACAAGCTCATATGAAGATATGCCACGCCGCTTGCATCGTGTTCTGATGTTGATGTTCAATGCAGAAATATGACGAGTCAATCATGTGAAAGCGTGACAAGGCTGAGGTGTGTGAGAGGGGAAACGTGTAGAATTTTAAAAATTTGCCTTTGTGCTCAGAAAACTCTCCACACGGCTGAATGCACTTGCATGCCCGTTTTTAGGAGGAGAAGGTTCACTCTGTACATTTGTGGTCTCTCTCTCTGTTTTTAAAATGACTCCTTCCATCGATTTTAGGTTGTTGTGTCAGGCCGGGGCCGAGGTAGAGGGGGTAGCCAGATGGGTCGAGGTCGTCCGATGCCCACCAGACAGAGCCAAAAGACTGCTGAGAGTGAGCGCTGCACTGTGTCCATTGAAGGCCTCTCCTCATCTACAACCGATTTGCAGCTTAAGAACCTTCTGAGGTCCATCGGCCCAATAAAGGTGGGTACCAAATACATCACCCTGGAGAATATGGTGTATTTATATTGTGTTTTCATACCTCGTTGACATGGCTTGGCTAAAGCTGAATTTATGCATTGTTTTTACATTAAAGCCTCATACATCACACTATTAGGTGATCTGCTTTAATGGTCAGATTGTCCTGTTGTAACCCTTTAGGGATTGCCAGTCATTGATAGCATTGCTACTAAGGTAGTTTGGCAGAGAAGGACCCTTTTAGAGTACACATGTGTATAGATACACTAAGTTATGAATCTTGGGGGTCTTCACTCCCCCCCCCCCCACCCAAGATTAATAAAAGAAATGAGCTCAATGAGTATCTCTGCACGTTTAGTCAGATTATTCTCCGAATTGAAAAATCCCCCCTCGTATGACGATGCTGCATACACACATTAATTTTAAAGTGTGCAGAAGTCTGAGCGTGTGTTTGCGTGCACGTCTCCGTGCACACCCAGACACATCTGCGTTTGCAAGTGTTGCTTATATGTGATGTGACATGAAACTGTAGCGAGGTAGATTCAGTTTTGAATAATCTGTTATGTTATTTATTTAAAAGATTAAATGATCAAATTAGGTAAGAATTGGCGAGATATTGCCGATCACTTTGGTCATCTTGACGCCCTACTTCACACTGAAAACTTAGAAACCACATATTTAGTGGCACCCACCAGTGACAGCAATGGCGTTTCTTATCTGCAATCCCACAGCGCCCTCTGTTGTAGTGATTCGGTAGGTTAGCTTTGAAGATCCAATTGATTATTCCCTTTCTTGTTACCACCCCCGCTCCCCCTTGCGGAGGAAAGGAGTATGCACTTCTATTTAGTTGGGCCTTTCCCCCCCATTTTTATCCACTTGCAGACTTTCAAAATGGTGCCCCAGCAGAGGAAAGCATTTGCTACATTTTCCAGTCCCCAACATGCAGCGAGTTTCCAAATGAGCTTCCACAGGTACTGAACACAGCTCCTTCCTTTTATCTTTGTAAACATGTCAGACATACTCCAGTAGACCTTCTTATATTTTCCAGTTTAGCTGCTGTACAGTGTCATAGGTATCTCCATCCACAGTGGCTCAAACATTGTTATCACAATTATCACACAGGCACATGATTGATTTGTCCCACATTGATGTGTCGCTGATTGACGGATGAGGAGCGTTATAAAGCCAGCGGGTCCTTTTGCAAGAAGTCGCTCTCTCCCAACGCCGGAGGGTCTCCTGCACAGCTCCAACCTGGTCTACAGATACTTCTCCATTTCTTTTGGGGGTCACTAACATTCAACGCCTCTGCACATCATTCATCAAGTCGTCTCCCATCGAGCTGGGACAGTGAACACAAAGACATTTAGCTGAGAGCATGCCTGTGTTTGACTTTTTCTACCAAGTGTCTGCAGTTGTGAAAATGACACTGGAGAGATACTGGATACCTTCTGCTATTTCAATGTAGTTTGTGATTAATGTTTATTTTGCATCTGACATGGACACTATAAGTAGAGCTCATCATGGGATAATGGTTGCTCCCCTCTTTAGTGAAATCCTTCGTGACAAATGACACTTGAACGCTGTGATTCTAACGTGACCACTTAATAGAATTTTTTATGTTATTAGTGGTGTGGTGCTCATATAGGGGGACTTGTTGTGGTGGGATGCGGTCAGCCTGTTCATGTAGTGGGTCTCCCCTGTCTGTAGATGGCAGTATTTTATCACTATTGGTGTTTCAGTCTTTCTCTCGTAGCCCTGCATTCGGGTAGCTGTGAAGTCTGTTTTTTGGTCTATGGCACTACCTAGTGGGGTTCCTGCATATAGGCGGAGAGGTGTCCTGGTTGTGATGATTCAAGATGTCATAGCAGTGACCAAAACCCAGCTGGGATAGGCTGTGATTATTTTTTTGCTAAATTGCCTGTGGTTTAAAGAATTGTAAATGTGGGCACTGATGAGTTGATTTCTCCTGTTTTTCAGTTTTATTGTTGCTTACTAAGTCCTCTCTCTCTCTCTCTCTCTCTCTCTCTCTCTCTCTCTCTCTCTCTCTCTCTCTCTCTCTCTCGTTCAAGTTAGTTGGTTATTACTCAGCTTTTAACTGTTAACTAGAAAACATTGTGGATGAACCTTTCATGCCTTGTTTGACCTGCATTTTAGTTGGATGTCTGATTATGTAGTAGTTAGATTTAGGTTGTGCCGAGTGTGCTTTGGGGCCGTGAGTATGTAGACATGTTTTTTGAGTTTTCTTTCTTTCTTTTTAATGAGCTTGGCAGGGTATTTGACATTGTTGGTAGATGGAAAAGAACTGTTTCCAGTTCTCTGCAGGATAAACAGACATTTCTGTGAAGTTCCTCGAGGATACATTCCTTACTCTCCTCTGGAATTGGAATAAGTTTGGAAATATTTACCCAAATTTGAGTGACTATCAGCTTATTGATCAGTAAGCTGCACAGCAGACTGTTTTTCCTTCACGCAGAGTGGTCAGATTGGATAAAAGAGGAGGAAATATAAACAAAATTCACCTTAATACTTTGCCCTGGAGACTGTAGAGAGATACATTTTCTAAATACACTAATTTCTCTTTTGTCAGTTTTACACATTTTTTCCAAGGCATCACTTACTAGCTCGTCACATTTTAAATTTTTTTTGTTATTCAGATTTTTTTCTCCTCATCACAAAACAGTTTGTGTATTGTAGTTGTAAAAATGTGTTAAAAGTTTAAATGCAGACGTTTTTTCACATCGAAGACTGAAATTGTTTTATATACATTATTCAAAGGGACGAGACAGAACAACGAGAGGGGGCAACCATTACCCGCGTAGTGATCATGTGCATAAGTCAGGCTTTCACTCGATATTTAACTCGTTAAATTTTTTTGAGTTCACTCACGTTGTATCAGGAAAAACAACTTTTATATGTAAAGGATATGCTGACGTGTCCAGATATAAGTCATTTTTACAAGTATTTTGTTTGTATTTTCAAACGAGGAATGACTGGACCACATTTGTGTTAAACAATACATTTGACAAAAAGTTTAAGGTGAAAAGAAAAAACGAACAAATAACCAAAAACAAAAGTGTAAATAAAAATATGGCCAATATACCGTGAACATGCAGGTATGTGAAGCCACTTGAACTTTAGCCCAAAGACGTGTGGTTGTGTGTGATGTCCATGTGTTATGTGCCTTTATGATAACGTAGTTTTCATCTTCTGTGCCACACTTTCTACTCCTTTGTACTTTTTAACGTATTCTGTAAGTTTGGGGGTTTTAACTATGCAACATATGACGTAAATGCGTTTGGAAACTTGCGTATTTTCTTGGGATGAACCACTTTTTTAAGTCATTTTTGATTTTGTAGGTTTATAGACGCAAAAAAAACAAAACAAAAAATGAGCAGTATTATGGCAAGAGATACTACCTCAAAGTTGAAGGGGAATATCACTGAATTTATTTCCTTAAATGAGAAATTTTGGCCTGAAAATTTAGCATTGAGGTCATCTGAATGTGCAGCTCCATAAAATGAGAAGCATTGCTACTCGGCTGGTAGGGAAAAGGTACGAGTTTTATGCCAAAAAAAAAGGTCACCACTTTTATTTTATTCTTTTAATCTGTCTGGAAGTCTGTTCCCAGCTGTGCCTCCAGGTGGCGCTACAGATTAACCTCCCTGATTTTGTGGTTTGAGAAATGTGTACTGATTGGCTTCTCTGTCCTGTCTGCATGTGTTGAATCACATCACAAATTTAGTGGTATTTCCCTTATGTTACTTGAAGTTACTAATAATCCATAAAGGTTTAAAATAAGCCACCAGTACATTCTCAGCAAGTACCCAAAGTATTCGATCCCACAAATTTCCTCTTCTTCATATAAACAGTGAAGTTGTGGCGTTTTTTTTAAAATTATTTATTGTTTTATTTATTTTTTTGTATGTTGCAGAAATCTGGTTTATTTATGTTTTATTCTTTTTTTGTTTGACATTTTTGAGCTTTTTCTGTGTATTGACGGTTATGTATTTATTGTCTTTCATGTTGTGGGTTACTCGCTCGAGTTTTAGTGCTACGCTAAATCCTGTGGATTTGAAAGAGTAACGGCAATGCCAGGTCGTAGTGATATTGTTATAAGACGTCAGGTCTTTTAATACCAGAACAGATTCATATTGAATCTTATCTGTACCTTAATGTGAAGAATTTCATACAGACGTGTACTGTGAATTTTTAAAAGTGATTAATTTTAATTGGGGGGGGGGAAAAGGCTTATTTAAGTTACAGCATGTTTTTCCAAACATGCCACCTCATATGGTTGTAGTAGGTATTTAACATAGAAGGGCTTGCCTGTCAGTTGTGAATGCAGCTTTCTTATGCTTGCATAAGAAACCTCCATAAAGGCTGCTGATGATTATAGTGAGAATATTTCGCATATTTGGGTCAAAGGTTGAGTTTTGCACAGCACTAACTTGTAACTTTTTTTAAACAGGTACATTTAAGGTGCAGAGTCGCTGAATTAATCACTGAATTCTGTCTTTTTCTTCAGATCAAATCCTCTACCATGGAGCAGAGTGACAAATCCATTTTTTAAAAGCACATTTAAGAGGCCATACCAAAGGTTTAACATGTTTTAGTCAATCAACAAAGTGCATTTGCGAGTGACCTGAAATTAAGCAGGCTGTTTATATTAATCTGCTAAAAGTATCCCCTGTTTATATTGCTAATGTAATCATCTGAGGCCTTTTCCCAGAAACCTATCAGGTCATTTAACATCATATAACCTCACTCAGTTTCTCAAAGCCTTTGTTGTCCTGCTAGAAAAATAATCAACCTGTTTTCTGAGCAGGGAATTCTTCAAGGATCTTTTTTATTTTTTACAGTTAATTTCCGTTCAGTTTTATTTGTAGACTTCCAATTCACTACAACAGTTTGCTTAAGGCGCTTTATATTCTAAGGTAAAGACCCTACAGCGATGCAGAGAAAAGCCCAACAATCAGACGACGCCCTATGAGCGAGCACTTGGTGACAGTGGAGGGCAAAAACTGCCTTTTAACAGGAAAACTTAAAAAAAAAAAGTGTTAAATGACGTGTGACTGATTCAGTCATTAACTAAGAGGTTGAGTAAAAGCATGAAACACCTCTGGTGTGGTCCCACACTTGCTCTTGTGGTGCTCTTTGTTTGATCACACTTGGTGGCACGATGGTGCAGTTGAGATTTGATTCACCTGACGTGACCGCCAGCCATCTCAGGTGCGAGTACAACAGAGAGACATCTGTAACTAACGCATACTTTTACTTTATTTTAACAGCGTGCCAGTAAGAGGAGCCATTGACCAGCTTAAACCATGATACTGCCTTAACTCATTCGCTTAACACTTCACGTTCTTTCACAGCCTCGCCATCTCCGGCCCCGAGATGAAGATTTCATTTCCCTCACTTGACAGTTGTTGGTGCATTCAGGTTATCGGGCCTGTCGCCTTTTTCCTAACCGCTTTTCCTGCTGTCACTGTTCTTTCAACTTGACCATATCTCGTCTTTTCCTTCCCGCTGCTGTTCTTCAATGAACTTAAAACTTCTGTATCAAGCAGGGTGGCCTGCCCGGATTACCATTGTTTGTTAGCCCAGTGGATGGAGGTTTCCATCTGTGTGACGACAGCCGGGTTCACTGAGCAGACACATAAACCTCTAAAGCAAGCTGCTTCATGGCTTTCACTGCACCAAAGGTTATTCCAGCTTCTTGACACTCACTGTTTGGTTGGAGTTTTAACACAAAGACACTGCACTGGTTTCGTCATCTCGAACTGTATGGTGCACCAAATGACTGTAAACCCAGCCCGTTGGGTTCTGACCAAAACAAAAAGCAAACTTTGAAGACATCTCTGTGTTTTTCACACTTGTGTCATAAGAAGGAATCATGTTGTGTTTGAATTATTCTGAAATGATTGTGCAATTTGTTCTGATGCTGTAAAAACTGAATTTTTCTACTATGACATGAAGACTTTTAAAGATACTTCATTTTTTAAGTACATTTAAGTTTCTATTCTTTATACCTCAAACTCATGAAAAATAAAAGTTTTTGATGCACTTTAATATTTCTGTGTTTTTATTGTTTTTGGCTTTTTTTTTGCTCAAAACTTCAATCAAAATGAATAAAAGTTTCTGTAGCTAGAAGTGAATCGAAGCTAATCAAGACAAAATAAATTTTAATGTTTTCAATATTATATATCTTTTCTTTATTCTTCTGAACTTTGAAGATTGGAGAGTCATTCATCTTCATAATAAATGTTATTTATAGGCACCATTGTTTTTTTTGTTTTTAATTATTACATTATTTTTATTAATTTGACTCATTGTTCGTCATGTGTCAAACAAATGCAAGTTGGGAAGTTTATGTACTAAAAGTAGCTGATGTAATTATCTGAAGCTTTCCTCAACCTTACCTGGTGACGTAAAACATTGAAATGTTTGCTGCAAAAAGTTTCTATATAAGCAATTACATGTTTTATTTCCAGTTTAGCTTTTTTTTGGTAATTTTTACTTTAACAGAACAAATTTTCTTAATTACAGCTAAAATACAAAGATACTTAAAAAGCTATTTTCCTTAGTTCATTCATGTTTCACAGCATAGAATTTCATCTTTGACCTTTCTGGACATCTTTTTTTCTTGTCCAGTGCCTAACATTTCATCATTCCTAACCTCCACCCAGTTCAGTTCTGAGCTTTTTGCTACTGCAGGACTTCCCCTAGCCTAAAGGTTGAAGTCCTGTATCTCAAATTTAGTAACCAGTGTCACGAGCTAGTGTAATCCTTGTCCTAGATAAATGAGACCGTTGAGTTAGGACCGGCATATTTTGGCCTTCAGGGAAAAAAAAATAAAGCAACCAAAATCACTGTAGTTATTTCTACAGACTTTTTCTCTCATGGGTTTATACTTTAATTGGGAATTCTAAACTGGACGAGAGTGTGTTCGGCTCACTGTGCGTGTTAGCTCTGTGATAGTGGAGACCTGTCCAGTGTGTACGCTGCCTTTTGCCTTACGACAGCTGACCGACCCCGAAGTGGAAAAGTGGACGAAGATGAATTTAACAAATTTGGAACAAATTGGAAATTTGTTGGCCTCATATTTTTGCCTGGTTAAAAACAGGGCAACACTCATGAAATATGGAAGGCTCTCATTTTAAAAAGCATTTAGAAACAATTTATTTCATTTGATAATTTAAATATCAAAGATGTTTTAATGCAGATCAACAGGAAAACCATCTGGTCCCGCCCTTTGACTCTAGATTCCCTCTTCCCTCGTCGGACATACATTTAACCTATCTAACAGTCCGTGCAGCATTTGTGAGTCTGTTTTGACCTCTGATTGTTCCAGTTTGTTTCAAAGATTTCTAACCTCACTCTTGTCTGACAACTTGACTGATTTTCTTTTCAGTTATAGTCTTAAGACAGTTCCAGTCACTCTGAGAGCCACTAACTTGTCATACATTGACTTTACAACCACAAGTTTAAACACGTAGAAATCAGGGGTGTCAAACATAAGGCCCAGTGTCCAAAATCAGCCCCGACGACCACACCAATCCGGCCCACCGGACAGCTTTTAGAAAAGATGAAGTAGGGAGTAGAGTTTGGACTTTTAACTTTATTTTAACTGAATTTTTTGATCATGTAGAAAAACTGGGACATACTACACTAATTAAAAAAAAACATTAAGCTATCTCTGCATTTTGAGATGTGTAGGAAAAGTTTACACTGCCAAAAAGGGGGTTTCACCTGTCCGGCCCACTTAAGATCAAAGTGGGTTGCATGTGGCCCACAACGTAAAATGAGGTTGATAATCTTGGTTTAAATGTTTCTCACGTCATGCATGTAATGTCTGTGTTTTATTTGAAGAAGTCACAGAGCTATTTATGCTTTAAGAGCCATCTAGGGGACAGAGTGCAGACTGGAGTAGCAGAAGAATCTATTAGCCGACCTTTTGATTGGTGGACGACCCGCTCTACCTCCTGAGCCACAGCCTTCTCTTCCAGAGAATATTCTGCTTTTCCAGTCATTGCTGTTGTTCCAACTTGCTGTACGTGCATTCGAACATATCTCATCTGTTCTCTGAACTTAAGACTTCTGTACCAAGCAGGAGCAGGGGGGCCTGCCTGGATTACCACTGTTTGCTAGTCCAGTGGATGGAGGTTTCCATCTGACGACAGCCGGGTTCACTGAGGAGACACATACCTCTAAAGCAAGTTGCTTCACGGCTTTCACTTCACCAGAAGCTCCTTCCAGCTTCATCGCTGTTATATATTTTATTTATTTATTTTTTAACCTGGTGCCATCATCTCGAATGGTTTGACGCTACAAATAATGATTGATTGGTGTGTTTTCATCCCGATCACACGAGTCAGAAGAAGGGATTGTGTTGTCTGCTGGATTATTAAAAAAACCACAACAACAACTGCATTTGGTCTGTTTTTTATGTCTTATATTTTGAAAATGATTCAAGATATTCAGTATTTTATGTAAATTGAAAATGTCACATTTGATACCAGAAACAGTGAAATAAACTTCTTGGTACTTTTCTGTCATTTAGCCTTGTGTAACTTTGAGTAGAAATAGATGAAGCCGAATGAGTCCCAGCTAAAGAACTATTTTGTACTCTTACTTGTCTTAAAGTTAAGTAGTGCTCATTTGTAAACCCTATACTGGTAGGGTATGCTTTCTATAAGTATGAGGGACGAATGCTTAGCACTGTTACCTTGCAGCAAAGTTCAGGGTTTTAATACAGGCAGCATCACTCTGGGTGGAATTTGTGTTCCTCGAACAATCAGAAACTTGATGCTGCTCAGCTCGGCCAAATATCAGAGTACAGAGTGTAGAAAAAGGGGCCAAAAGGTGTAACTATGTAGCTGTGATTCTAAAGTGGAAAACTTGTTGTGGTGTGTTCACCTTAAACCATAAACCAGTATCAGTTTATTCAAATTAAATAGTTTAGTTGGAAAACCACAATTGCCATTTTTTAACCAGAGTAATGGGTGCATACTCTCCCATCTCTGCAGGCCTGTATCCATCCATCTATCCATGCTGGCCTGTCACAAAAAGTTCTGCTTTCTTCTTTGCTCTATTAATACTACGTTAGTAGGAATAAAGGGACATCTCTCAATTAAGCCCTTGTGGATTTCTGCTTCCCTCTAACTTGCCACTTCCACGTTGAGCACTGCTGGCTGCTGCCGCGAAGAAGCAAAAGCTGCCTGCAGAGAGGACGAGCTCT